GCTTGTTGAAATCTAAAATTATATTTTTATTAAATTTATAAGGGATATGCAGATAAATGTATGTATGTATATATATATATATATATATATATATATATATGCATATAAAACGTGTCGAAACAAGTCATTTACTTTTATTCGTAAGAAGAAAGTCAATTCAATTGCCAACAGATGGCTCAATAATTTCCTGAATTGAAGGTGGCATTATTTTCCTTTATATAAATTTCAGTGGAATAATACGACATGTGATACATAGAGAAATTGCAAGATTCTCAGCTTAATTCATTAATAACTATTCTGTATATCATATAAAATTTCATATTTCTAAAATCATCAACACAAGTGAATACTCGTATCCGCATGCTTTGCACTGGTCTATAAGGGCATCGAATGTACGGTATATTAAGTGATAAGCCCCGCAAACTGAGTTATAACAAAATTTTCTGATTAAATCTTGAATAAACTTGTTTGATGTTTGGTTATTGTGATTGTGTTGCGTATAACAGTATAAAGGGAAAATTAACCAAACAACTTTGTTTTGAATTACAGTTTCAATAATATATGAGTCATGCATGTCGTCACATGGTGCATATATAATTCAATGCAAAGATAAGTTACATATAATTCCTAAGAGATTTGATAAATAATTAATATTCTTCGAAATTTGTCGGCAAATTGCAAATTGCAAAAAAAAAAAAAAAAAAAAATTGATCAATTAAAAAAAGATACAATTCACTGAAGAATGTATTGGCGGTATCTTTGATAGTTAAAAATTTCAATGTATTTATGGAAAATGTATGAAAAAAGGGTGAAATATCCTTAGCTGCAAAATTATAAAAGCGTTGGAAAAGTGAAATGAAAAATTAATTTTCAATAATTAAAATGCCAATGCAAATTCATTAATACGGGGACTCCTATTCGTTGTATGAAAAGAATTTATGTTTATTTATGCATATTTATTTTACGAATAACACGTCATTCTTACATTCAAGTATCAAAATTCAATTAACCATATAACAATATAATTAATTATTAATCAACAAGGTACTAACAAATTTTGGGATAATGTATGCCACTATTTGTTTATTACATTGATGTCTTGAGACAGGCGATTTTTCGATTAATTTTCTTCTAAATTTTCTGTTATGCTAGCATCAGCACAAATACATAACATTACTTTACACAATTGACATATATTTCGCATGCAAGCAAATAAAGTATCGAACAATTATATAATAAAGTCAATAAAATTTGACAATAAGTATATGCGTGTGTAAACATAAATAAATAAATATATATATATATATATATATATATATATATATATGTACTTGTATTAATATGTATATTTATTCGATTTTGTATTATTTATATGCAAAAAATAAAAACTATCTCTGCGTTATTATTATCATATATATTGCTAATAATAATGCAATGTAAATAAATAATTTATTATTAAAGGCGAAAAGTATTAAAAATTAGAGTCTCAGCATTGGAATGTAAGCATACTGTTTATTTAAAAGTCATAAATCGATTCGTTGCAATTTACCGTCGTATTAGTTTTAAAAAACTGGTTTCGATTTAACGGACACAAGAGGTCAAAGAAGCGAAATACTCACATCTAGACATTCTTGTCTTACGCTGGTCGGTTCCTCGGCAACTAGGCAAGTTATTGGCTGGCCCTAAAATATGAGAGTAACGAAGATGAAGCGAGATTAAAGGCGAACGTTAGCGCGAGGGACGGGGGAAAGGGAGTGAGCGCGAGAGGGAAGACAGAGGTAAGAAGAAAAAGGCGAAGAAATAAAGAGTAGTAGAATATCCCCTTATTGAACGAAATCTTGTTGGGCGGGCGGGGAAGGTGAATGAGGGGGGATGGTGGATATGGGGGGGAGGAGGGGAGGGGGAGACGCGTGGTGGGAGGAAGCGAATATTAAAAAGTTTATAAGCGCTTTTCAGATGCAAACGTCAAGAATCATTATTCGCTTTGAATTTTCTTTGGTTTTCTTTTGCTTCACGGGGGGTGTTCTTCCCATCTTCATTTTTAAAGGCATTCTGTTGCCGCACCTTTTGACATTTGCGTAACTAAGTGTTGACCTAAAAATCTGTTTTACTTATAATACTATTAAATAGATGAGAAAAGAAATAGGCCGAGAAAAGAACATGCGAATGTGCTGAGCGAATGGGACGGAATGGAAGTCGTAAGAAAAGACGGAAAATCTTGGTAACACGAAATCACACAAATTCCGCGTACGCGTATTGTTAAGTGTAATTTGTCTCCTTAACCGCAAAATTGAGAAGTCGATATATTTTTTTATCTTTTTTTTTTTATTTTTTTTTTATTTTTTTTTTACGTTTTCCTCGTCGAGACGAAATCCCATTATCTAATTATCGTAATCATAAATTTAATGCATTCTATGCATTTTTAAGTATATCGAAAGTTATTTTTCATTCAATCGAACGATGATACAAACTTTGGAAAAATCAGAAAAATTGTTCGATTTGCTCAACGTATTTTAGGATTAATAATAAAAGCGATTAAATAATTAAATAAAAATACGGACAATCAACATGAATATATAGATAAATATATATAGATAATTTAAGTACAATTAAAAATTCTCTATATACGTTTCTCCCTCTTCCACTTTAGTTCTTCTAGATCTTGGATCTTAGATCTTAGATCTTAGATCGGGGGAAAGTGTCGGTGGACATAAAGATTCGTCCGGTGTTGGAAACGCGCCACTTGTCACAACTGCCGGCGCACATTAATCGACGATTAAGTCGCTGAACGGAAAAAGTTTAAGTGTTGCGCGGGGAAGCGCGGCGAATGCACCACCTCCACCACCACCACCACCACCACCACACCACCTCCGTCGAGAGGAGGACGTCGCGTGTGCGCGGGTTTCCTGCGACGGTGGTAGTGGCGATCGGGGCGGACGGGGATACGTACGCACGAGGGGCGCAAATCGGCGGGACCGGGGGTCGGGCGGGGATTGGTCGGAGACATACCCCCACCACTGTGCCCTCGGTGCCGCCGCCGGGGGACGAATGCGATAAAAGGGCGCCTGCCCTCGTATCAGGCAACAGACCGAGAACTGCCCGCGTTGCCGGTGTACGTTTTCGGTATTCTGTCAATTTTCCATAGTCGTGATTTTTTTGTGGTTTTTTGGAAAAAACCCCGTGTCTAGTGAAGATTTGAATTTGTTCACGTTTGTCCGTCGGCTGCTTATTTCGCGCGATCTCGAATAATCATCTCTCTCACCGTCACAAGCTCTCGCTAAATAACGGAGAGGGAGGATTATAAAGAGAGAGAGAGAGAGAGAGAGAGAGAGAGAAGATGAGAAAGAGACCAAGAGGATAGTGTGCAAATATTATTATTTATCTATATATGTAAACGTGTGTGTTGGATGGAAGATTATCATTACGAAACTATTAAGGCAAAGCACCGATGGATCGTCAAGGCAACTGACATCGACAATAACATTATTCACAGTGCCTGAAAGCCATAATAAAACATTAGAAATATGTTTTGGGAACCCGTATCCGATTCATGTGATGTGTGCCGCTGCACAAGGTAATTTCGAGACGAACAGCGCCTTTACCGTTTCATTTGCATTTCATCTATATACAACTCTCGTTACTCTAATCTCATTATCCATGCAGTAATTATCGCAAGTGCTTACAAAGATTTTTCTCGTGCTTACGCCAATAGTGTGCTTAAAAATTAACAATCTACTGTACATTCAAGGCAGGAGGGGAGGAATTAATCTAAGCTCTATATTAATGCGGGAGTAAAATAGAATGTTCATCGTGTTGTTCTTACACCGTTAATGCGCTTTAGACTGCTGATTCATATAAACACGCGACGACGAGTCGGAAACGAGAGCATATATTTCAAGTCAAGCATTGGTATGTTAAAGAACTTGACAAATTTTGCACATTTTTCACATGCACCAGCGCACATCTATTTTAAGTATGACAAAATTCGATCGATATTGAAAAATTATTTATAAAACTTATAATGTTTGTCGCTCTCGTCGTTTATGGGCTCTGGTAGTGCAGCTATTGCCTTATTCGTTTATCAGCATAGAAGTCTTTCGTCGGGTGGCAATTGTTGCAGATTGACAGTAGCAGGTTTATATAGTACTATGTATTAGGGAAATACAAAGAAGGCTTTGGGCGAATCGTTTGACCTAATGGATTTGGAGAGATGGATCGATCGATGGATAGAGAGTTAGAGAGTTAGAGAGTTAGAGAGTTAGAGAGTTAGAGAGTTAGAGTGATAGAGTGATAGAGTGATATCAAACGACGATGAGGAAGAGGAGTAATGAAATTGCGGGACTTTTCGCTTTTCGGGCCAGGTATCGATTTTCAAAATAAAGAGGCGCCTCTGCAAGAGCGATCGAAAAGACATGGCAGTTTGAAAAAGGTACGAAGCGGGGCGCCACACTGCAACTTCCTCCGTTCGCGGTTTCCTCCCGGAGCTCCGCCCCTCTTCAGTCGCGCGGCAAATGTCAGCCGTGTCGGTTCGCGGTTACATGGGGTCTGCTTAACGTTCGACTTGAGATGATTCGCTTTGACAAAGACCGATGCACTTCTAACGCTAACTGGTCGCCAAACAGTGTTCACCAGGAGGGAGCCGCCACGTAGTCTCGGTACGTCAGTCCTGAAATACTCATTAACAGCCAACGCTCGTCACTTACCGTACATACATGACTTAGTCAAAGAAAAATAGAGCCTTCCCGGGCGTCCCCGCGTACGCCCAGACATCGACGGCCGCTTTGGTAAATAAGGGAGGAGAGCGCCATGTCCCTGTCAACGCTGTCCATTCCATCTTATGGACCGTGGCGAGCTTGGCACCGGGCATCCTGGCGCATCCTCGCCTTCTCGCGGCTAATCACGGCAGCGGATACTTTACCCGCCGGGGCGGGACGACTGATTTTTCCAGCCGCGTGTACGAGATTGTCTAATGAGACGCGTCTCTATTCGTCTGATTATAGGCTGTTCAAAAATGCATTCAAGATCAACGGAACACCGGAGGCCTCGGTGAGGACGTTCGGCTCGTCGTCGTCGGCGCGGGTAAGACGGCTCATCGGCATGGCGTCGGGACGCATGTCCAGCCCGGACCTCGGCTCCCCGTGCGCCAATAGTCAGAACTTGGAGTGCGCCGCCATCTTCAGTCCCAATGTTCAAAACTCGACGCCGCACAAGGTAATTTAAGCGCTAGACGTACCCACATGCGAGTGCGCGCACGCGCATCTCCTCGCTCCTTTCCCGCACTTTTTTTTTTCTTTTTTCTTTTTTTCATTTCACCCTCGTTACATTTATTTATTTTTTCCTCCTCCCTCCGCGCTCATCATTCCCCTGGGATCGACGACTTTATTCAATCAATTTACTATATTCACCCGAGTAATGGAATACCTCATTCAGTATTTGACAAGTTACATGTTTTTATAAACTATACTTTTTTTTTTTTTTTTTTTTTTTTTTTTTTTAATATCAATTTTAACCACTATTCCTTTTGTCATGTCAGGCTATGTTGCTTTGTATATACCCCCATCTGTCTTTGGTACGTCTTTAGCTACGTGCAAGTATCAAACAACGTTATATATTGTTTTGTCCGTACCCCCATTGGTTGGTACGCCCGAGTTTACGATAAGAAACGATAATTACTAATTATTGTAATCCTCGGTAAGTTATAATTGCAATACCATCGAGAAAATAGCAAAGACATTAAACTGCGGAAATTAAAAAAAAAAAAATATCAATAAATAAATAAATAAAAGAAGAAAAATAAGATTCGCTGAATTCGTATCAGGACACGCGCAAATGTCAATTTCGAATGTTGCAATTTTGAAAAACTTATAGCCGATCCCATTGGAAAAGTTTCGTTTTGTTGCCCGGTGTTATGCACCCTCCTTCCCGCCCCTCGCCCCATCTCCCCCGCCTATCCATCAATCCACCATCCACCATGCCCATGGCTGCCGTTCATCACCAACGAGCCGACCCAATGTTTTGCCATTTTCGCAAGCAAGTATTGACCATTGAGACCTCTCTTTCTTACAGTCAGGCGGGCCAAAGTCGGCCAAACCGCGCTTCCCGCTCGAGGAGTTCGACCCCAACAGCCAGGACAGCGGCTACGGCGGTTGCGCCAACTACTCGGACGAGAAATCTGGCAGCCAGTGCAACGCCTTCCAATTCGCCGAGCCCCTCGGCGTCGCCCCCCGGCGGCTTTCTCTCGAGTCCCGCAGTCCCATGAAGTCACCCCTTCGCTCCTCCCCCCAGCGCAATCGGTCCGCACGGCCGGCCCTATTCCGTAGCCTCTCCTCCGGCTACGAGAGCACCGACGATGGCTTCAACGACCTCATCGACATGGAGAGTCTCGACAACGAGCTCACCCGGCTGCCCAACGGGCTCTCGAGCCTCATATCCGGGGACATTGTCGTCGGTGGCCCGGAGAAGCCCACCGTGGGCATGGAGGTTGCCGCGACGACGCCCAAAGCCCCGACTGCCGCGAATAGACCGAACCCGAACCTCCGGCGCTCCCTCTCCCTCTCCCTCTCGCTCAAGTCGGAGCGGCTCCAGGGGCAGGAGGCGCGCGCTGACGGCAGCAGCGGGAGCACCCCGAGCCTCTCCAAGGTGCGCTCCTGCCTCTTCCGCTCGCCCAACGCCAGCTCCTCCGCCGCGAAGCTCTGCTTCGACGAGAATCCACGACGGAGCCACGAGGTCTTCGACGAGAGCCTCGTCGCGACCGGGAGAAAATTTAAGCGGCCAGAGCCGCCGGTCGAGCACTCGCCAACCCTCGTCAAGCGCTCGAGGAAGTGCGCGAGCTTTCAGGACGTGAGCCTGGCATTGAGCCCCGAACCTGCCCTCCTCCAGCGCAGCCACTCCGAGACGGAGGCGCACGCGCACATCAAGTCAGCGATCCACCGAAGTACGACCGACTCGGATCTCACGGGCGACTTTAGTAAGCCCTGCGTCCTGCCGCTCGCCGACGGCCAACACGAGGACCTCAAATCCATCAGCCCCGAGACCCTCTCGAGGCTCATACGGGGCGAATTCGACGACCGGATAAGCGAGTTTAAGATCGTCGACTGCAGGTATCCGTACGAATACGAGGCCGGTCACATCGACGGGGCCCTCAATCTCTTCAGCAAGGAAATGATCGAGAAGTTCCTCCTGGACCCGCTCAAGCACAAGTCCGTTTCGATCGAGCCCGAGAGCCAGAAGCGCAGCATTCTCGTCTTCCACTGCGAGTTCTCGTGGGAGAGGGGTCCAAACCTCTCGAGGTTCCTCCGTAACATTGACCGACAAATGAACAAGGAACGCTACCCGGCCTTGCACTATCCCGAGATTTATCTTCTTCATGGCGGTTATCAAAAGTTCTACAAGGATCAGCGCTGTCTGTGCATGCCCCAGGGCTACAGGCCGATGCGACACCCGGACCACGAGGCGGACCTCCGTCAATTCCGAAGTAAGAGCAAAAGCTGGCAGGGCGAGAAGAGCGGCAGAGCGAACGTCGTCACGGCAAGGGCGAATCTCAAGAGACTCGGCTTTTAATGTTCCACCTCCAGACAGGCCGCTGCCGCCGCCGTTAGCTGTCCGTCATCGCCATCGCCATCGCCATCGCCATCGCCATCGTCATCGTCATCGTCATCGTCATCACCATCGTCATCACCATCACCAATTCCAACTTTACAGCATTATTGCTCAACTAGCACTATCGATCATCCATCGCACACCCGACAACCGCGATCACGTTAATAATGATGATGATGATGATGATGATTTTTAATCGAAACACTGCCGAACCTGCAAGTGTTCACCCTTAGCTTAGACTGCGAACATTGGAGGATATTCGAAGGAGAAAGGCCACTCGCGTTATTTGTCGTATTCTTCGTTGTGCTTGGACCATTCGACAAAATTCGCGCGAGTTTTATGTGCAAATGTAAATGAAATTTATGAACCACGGTCGCAATAGGCGGAGCCTTTAAAGTCGCGCACAAAGCAGCTGGCTTTTTAAACGCTTTAATTTTCGAATTCTGTGCTGTTTATCGCTTCTTTGTTTGTTTTTTGTTGTTTTTTTTTTTTAATATTTTTTTTTTTTTTTTTTTTTTTTTGTTCATTTTTATTTTTGTTTTATCTTGTAAAAACGAAAGAACCGAACTTCCGTGAGATTTAGAGAGAATAGAAAATCGATTGTATTGTTTGAATGATACTTATGTGTGAGTATTTAATGGTTGTCGAATATTTATGTATAGGCGCTAAGGACAGGACGAGGCGAGACTTAAAAGCAAAAAGCGACATAGTCATTTTTTCAGTTCGCTGATTAGCTTATATATACCAAATTATTTTAGGCGCCAGAATAGTCATGAAATTATGAAAATTAATTATATAAATTAAATTCTCTAGAGATTGAAATTGTACTTGAGCACGTCTTTTTCACTCGATATAGAAAAAGAGTCGCATCGATTTTCTCGTTTCTTTCTCAACGGGGTAAATGTCCAAATTACTTTCTTTGAGTTGATGAAATAATAATTACTGTATACTCTAATATACACACGTGTGGACATTTACACCGTTTGATCAATAAATCGATTTCTTTGAGTTCATATAATAATAATTATTGTATACTGTCATATTATACACGTGTATATTGATCAAAAACATGGGAAAAGAAGGTTCGACTTATCCTCTCCCTAAATATGTGCAAAGTAGATTATTATATGTTGTACAAAGCTAAAGCACGCATTATGTGAAATCATAAGCATTAATATAATTTGTCATACAAAATAACTGTCTCTTTATTAATTTTTTACTCCTCGTGTGTTAATAACCCTATGAATTAATTACATTTAGCAATATTAATTTTTATTACCTTATGCTAAACAGTAATTGGTTCCAAAAAAAAAAAAAAAAAAAAAAAAAAAAAACAAACATCGTATGGAAGATAAATAACGATGATTGTTCAATATTCCTCAAGGAGTCTGGTAAATTCATATTTATTCATTAATCACTTCATTATTTTATAAATTCTGGGAGAATTGAATCTCTATCTTGAATCGCGTTGGATCTCTTGCACAAATTTTCAAACTTAATATTAATTTTTTATATCGAATTTTCAGACTTGATCAAAGTGATATTATTAAACAAGAAATTATTCGATTATTTAATAATCTTGCAATGCTTACTATCATTCGCTTCACCACTCACTACCATTCATTCATATTTCATAAAATTGAAAAGCTTTTCATTTTAATGACGGACTTCATCTTATTTGCATTAGTAGTAATTGTAAACGAAGCTTAAAGTCTGTTATTGGCGAGTACCGAGCACGTACCTCTCGTGTAAATTGTCATGGAAATTTATTAGTCTTGTTTCATTTTAACTTTCATCATATTCATTTCGAATTATTTGAATTTCTGATAGGCAAGTGTTGTTGTTTTTTTTTTTTTTTTTTTAACCAGATTTGTCTTCCATAAACAAACAAAACAAAAAAGATATCGTTTTACTAGTTGCAGCTTTGCAGTGACTCGGATATGTTTATATTTTCTGTTGCCGCAAGTAATTGATATATATATATATATATATATGTATGTAATAATTACAAAGAATAAAAACTTTGACAAATTTTAACTTTTAGCCAAACACGGTACTATTAATTTAATTACAACATATAGCTTTTGATTTTTGATTTACATCAAATATATTTATCGTTTTGTATGGTTAACCTTTTCTCTCGACAAAGGTCATGTGATAATAGCCGGTGAATGTAATCGCACTTCTCGAACTTTCTACTTTAAAATTTTATCAAATGCTTTTCTTTTATTAAGGATAATTGAATAGGTAGATCCTTGGAACGTAAAAAATACTTAAGAAATACTTAACAGTAGAACATAGAATTTAAAATTGGTATACTACAAATATGGGCTAACGTTGTTAAAATAATTTGATTTATGAAATTTTCATACAAAACTTAGACGATCCACGATTTCAAAGCAAAATAAAAAAATCAGTTTAAATTCAATAATTTTTTTAATCTATTACTCTTATCCTACCTACATTTCACAATTTTAAATTGTCAACAGCAAGGAGACCTGCAATTAGTATTTGTTCAAGGCTTGTTACGACAATGTCAAAATATTTTGAAGAGTTTGAAATTGTGCCAGATGTGATCGATAAACAACCACCTGCACTCGTAAAGGTAGAATATCCATGCGGTGTTTCTGTAAATATTGGAAAAGAATTGACACCTACGCAAGTTAAGGATCAGCCAACTGTAAAATGGGATGCCGATAACTCAACTTATTATACCCTTTGTATGACAGGTACAATAATTTGATATTGAATTGTAATACTTAATACAAATCAGAAATATGATTCTTAACATAATTATTACAATTGTATTTTACTTCTTATTACTTATGTTGAAATATGTAAGTGACATTATAGCCAATTATAGTACAAATATAATAAATGTAAATGGAATTGTATTATTATGCAAAGATCATTACAACGTTATAGTGTACATTGAATATTAATTAAATTATTTTATTGACAATGTAAAGATTTAAATCTACGGCCATGATGAGCGAGGCATAAAATTTATCAACAATGATTAAATGTTTTTTAATAAAAATTTTCATACAAAGTTTAATTTGAATCAAAGTATAGATTTTAAATAGAAGAGTCCATAGCAGAATAAAATCTTCTTTAATATAAATTTATTATTGTTTAAAATCAATTGGACGTACGTTATAAAGTATAACGTAAGAGGTAGTTTTTCATAGAATTATTATTTGCAACATAAATACAAAACATTTAGAAACATCAAAATATTACACAATATCGATGTATACGATTATTACTTACTATTTAATGAATGTGCATAATGCTATTTGCATGTACGTTGCAAGTAACGTATCTGTATGTAAGTTAATAATTCGTTAAGCATATCTTATATCTTACTATACAGATCCTGATGCACCAAGTCGAAAAGAACCAAAATATCGTGAATGGCATCATTGGCTCGTTACAAATATTCCTGGCGACGAGGTTTCAAAAGGAGATGTTTTATCCGATTACATTGGGTCAGGTCCTCCACCCAATACAGGTCTTCATCGCTATGTTTTTTTGGTATACAAACAGCCAGAGAAATTGAGTTTCAGTGAGAAAAGATTAACAAATCGCAGTGATAAAGGGCGTGGAAATTTTTCAATTAAGAAATTTGCTGAAAAATATAATTTAGGGAGTCCGATTGCTGGCAACATGTACCAAGCCGCTTACGATGATTACGTTCCTACATTGTATAAGCAATTGAAAGAATAAATTTACTCGTAGAAGTGGTTTTTCATTTTCATAAAAGCCAGTTCATTAAATCCCGATTAAAATATTTCATGCGGATTTTTCAGAAATCGTTCAATTATCAAAAGTATAAATAATTAAATTATTTTTACTTCAGTGATATAGAACAGAATTCCAAATTTTTTTCTTTCATTTTTCTTTATTATAAAATCGTTAAAATTAAAAAAATTGCATCTGCATGAAAAATAAAATTTTATAAACATACGATTGTCATTGTCTTTTTTTTTTTGTACGTTCTCACCTACTTTAATTCCATTCCAATTCCAATGATCTTTCCTACACAAAAAATTTCATTTCACTTGAAATACAATTATTAAATATAAGGACATTATTCAGTAATGATCAATCGGATCGCCTGAATTATTATATAATTTTTCCATTCCGAATAATGTTTGATAAGCTAAATTTTACAATAAATAAAATATAATTTGCTACATTACCAATAATGTCAAGATATGTCTGAATGACATTTGCTGTATTGTATATGAGACTAATAACGGATGCGTTTCCGTTAGAAAAATAGACTCTATTAAATAAATTTGATTATTTAATTTTTTTCATATTGCTCTAGAAAAATCATCGCTTTCTTACGTAACAAATAAAGTATAAATATGCCCATTTGTATGGATCGAAGAATAGTCAACCTATTATTGTAAAGGATGAAACTCCTCGTTGCAAGTATGATTTTATTATAAGATTTTATTTAAAATCGACAATCTGTAGAGTACATAAGATTTTATTTCTTTTGAATTATTCATCTTTTATTTCGTAATAATTTTATCTTACTTGATTTTGAAAAAAAAAAAAAAAAAAGCGATACAAACGCACGCACACGCAATTATAAATAAAATGTATAATATGAAGGCCAAATTAATACTTTTAAATACGACAATAAATGTGTATTGAGTATACATAATTTCTATTAAAAAATTAATAATATGATTTCTTTTTTTTTTTTTTTTTTTTTTTTTTTTTTTTTTTTTTTTAATAAAGTTTTTTATCTCTTAATTATTGATACAAATTAATTTTAATTAATATTAACGTTTAAGTATATTGTAAAAAAATTTTTAAAAAATTTATATTTCAAAGATAAAATAAATATTCTAGAAATTCTAAATATGCAGAAAATTGAGATTATAATTGACTTGCCAAGATAGAGGTCTAAAATACCAAAATAGATTATTTATTCTTAGATAACATATACTAGAATAGTATGTTAGATGTAATAGAATCACAATATTTTTCAAAATAGAAAATCATTAAATTTTATATTTAAAATATGAATATATAAAATGCCACTATAATTATAAAATAATTTTAAAATATTATTTTACATGTCGAATAAAAGAAAAAAAAGAAAAAAGAAGAAAAAAAAGAAGAAAAAAAATAATCATTGGAGTTAACACGAATCAAAGAAAATTCCAATATGTCTTGCATTTATAATTTAGCTAATGCATTAAATTTATGTAACTTAGGTCTGCTCCTTTATACGTATACTTTGGCAGAAGATATTCCGGCAGGATTAACTGTTTCTGCTATTGTCCCGGACATCGTGTCCAAAGCACCAAATGAATTACTTTCGGTAAATAAACTGTTGAAATTGAATGTTAAAGCAGCGAGCGTAGATATTAAAAAAAAAAAATAGAATCAAAAACTTCAATTTATGTTTAAATAATTTTTTTTTTAACTATCATTTATCTTTTGCAATTTATTGTTAAAATTTGATATTGTAATACATGTAAGTAGAATATTCAAAATGCATTAGTGGCTTAAACATAAAGAAAGCAAGCGGCAAATTGTTGAAATTATTATTATCTATACTATAAAATATATGTTGTTTCGACAAAATTTCTACAAAATTACTTATCAATATAAAGTGCCATTAATTGCAAGTTAATAAGTAGTAGTATTAGTAGTAGTAGTAGTAAGATGCCGTGTATAATACACTAACGAATTATTATCTAATGTAATGTGCTTCTGTGGTAAAAAGAATAATTAAAAGTATTAATGGGTAATGAGTGATTTGTTTGTAAATCGAGTGAATATATTAACGTCATATATTTAGGTTATTTTTAAATACGGCAATGACAAAGAGAAAAACTTACAATTCGGTGAAGAATTGACTCCGACAATCGTAAAGGATCCTCCAACCATATCATGGCTCGTTGACGATTCTGCTTTCTATACTATTGTTATGATTGGTAGGAAATGATTTATTAAAATATATTTATACTCTACTCGTAGTCATTATGATCCTAACTGAAGTTGGATGATTATCATTATGATAATTTATATACATGATCTTCTTGAACGTTTCATATAATGATTATTAAGATTTTTCATTTAAGCACACAGTTTTACTTTTAATTAACTAAAATGACAAGTCTATATCGCGAAACTTTTATTTTTAACTAATAAATTACATAAGCGGTAAATTTTAACGATTTGCCATTATAATATCTCATATAACGTATAACTTATTCATCGTCTTTGATTTTATTTTTATAATCCATTCAATTGCGATCGTTTGTACAAAGATCGACATAGAAAGAATAAATAATATTAAGACCTCGTGAAATAATACTATATCGCATTATTATTATTATTATCATTATCATTATCATTATTATTATTATTATTATTGTTATTATTATTATTATTATTATTAGCATTATTATTATTATTATTATTATTATTATTATTATTATTATTATTATTATTATTATTATTCATTGATTGGGATTATATTGGGATTGGGGATTTTAAAGCTTAGATAAACAAGAAATTTTTTCACTTATGTAAGTTAAGAATTGAAAATAATTTGAGACGGATATCGCTCTAATATAATATTATAAATTGTATTTGATTTGTAAAGACGTTGTAAGCCTAATGTCTATGCAATGACTAATGACTATCGCACTCAGATCCAGATTCACCGAGTAGTCAGGATCCGAAATTGCAGGAAATGTTGCACTGGCTGGTAGCGAATATTCCTGGTAGCGACATAAGCAAAGGCGAGATAATTGCCGAATACATTGGATCGGCTCCCTCCAAGGACACTGGACTGCACCGTTACGTGCTCCTGGCTTATAAGCAAACAAATAAATTGATCATCGACATGCCGCATATTTCTAACCACGAACGCACTGGGAGACCGAACTTTGTCGTTCGCGATTTTGCTAGGAAATTCAATTTGGGTGAGCCGATAGCAGCCAACATGTTCAAAGCACAATATGACGATTACGTAGACATTCTTCGTAAGCAAATGGGCGAAGCTTGAGATTTAACATTCGTTATAATAGTTTATTTTATGCTGTATATATTTATTATATATTCTTATTCCAAAAGTTTGTTTGAATAAATAGGCAAATACAATTGTACATTGCTCTTAATGATATAATTATACCTTTTTCTTTATATCCTTGTGCTCCCTTTCGTGATACAAATTTGCCAATTGTATTGAAAAGTCAATGTCCCTCTTATTCAATTTTCATTTGACAAAATGATAGTTATCATTTTTGTTTTGTTTTTGTTTTTTTTGTTTTTGTTGTTTTTTTTTTGTTGTTTTTTTGTTGTTTTTTTTATACACATATAAATAGATTCCACAATGTGTATTCTAGAATATCTCGATAAATTAGCAATAATTCTTCTTTCTTTTGGAAGATTTACTTGAATATTATACGATGAGTCTGTCAATATTAACTGTCATCAAATTTACCTATAAAATATTTTTTATTCACCTTTCATAGACACATTTCATCGCGTGAGATTTGTTCTTATCCGTAGGCCATTGGTAAATCAGTAAAAGCATGTGATTTAATGTTACGGATAATATCTTTATATTTAATAAATTATTTGAAACGCTTGCGATTAGTTAACACCGAATAAAAGTTGATAGTTTTACAATTTTAAATTAAAAATCTGTCGCATTTAAAGTAGTGTAAGTATCTATAAAATTCAAATTCATTTGAGCCGGGAAGGAAAATCAATTTTTATCATAAAAAACTATATAGTTCATCGAAAAATTATGAAATTCACAGGATTTAAAATTTAAGTACTTCATACATGTGATATAATTTTATTTTCACTTATTACTATTTTGACAATTGATTGTAATATGCATATTTATAGTTATAATTGATAATAATAATAAGCTTATTAAAAATGTATAAATAGTGTCCATTATATCAGTAAATATTGGCGTTTCAATAAATTCTCTAATAAAATATTAAATAATATAATTGAATTGAAGCTCTTATTGAAATATTATTTAAGAATTTTGAATTACAGTTAAATGTAAATATAAGCGGTAAAATTATTTTTCAAATTGCCAGAATTTCTCTAGGTTTTTGATATATGCCATTATAATGAATATTTTTTTTTTTATTTAAATACACGTTTAACGTCTGTCTTATTTAGTAAGTTATAAGTTGTTTTTAATTTCAATATTTGCAAAATTATTAGTATTAGAGATCATTTGTTTTACAAACTATTTTATCAAATAAGGAACATTAATATTGAATAAACATTAATTGTTCAAACACTGCGTTTAGAAATAAAAAAAATTATTTCTTTACATTTATATTAAGAAAATACAGTAATTATCCTTAGTAGATATTCCTTTATCCCTATTTTATATCTTATATCTTTAATTTTATTAGGATAGCAAGGATGATATATCGTCTAATGCGATTGTTTTTTTTTTTTTTTTTTTTTTTTTTTTTTTTTTTTACAATCAAATACTAATGTAGCATATTTTTAAATAAATATTTTTAATTTATTTGTTGTAATACTTAAAAGAGACTCAAATCCACAAGTCCTTGATCGCATTTAATTATATTTCTTTTTCTTTTATCTTAACAATCACTTTAGAATATAAAAACATTAACCTTTTAATGTTATAGCGTCGTCATTCCACTCATGATGACGTCATAGGCGAACGTACTCGTACAAGTTTTGTTCGTCGAGAGAAATCGGTCGCAGTTTACGGTACGACATCGAAGAAAGATGAGATTATTGACGACAGGTGAGAGTTTCGTTGTATTATATTCTTCTTTCCATACTCCTCCCAAGCTATACCTTCGATTATTCTAATAAATCATGTGAAATTGTTACAAAAAAATCGTTTTTTTGATTATTAAAGATTTAAAATTATATTTTTATAAACGTTTAAATATCAATTCAATTCATTTTTTTTTAGGAATTATTTTTATGGTAGCGGGTGTTGTCGTAGCTGATGTTGCATCGGAATTCAAAGCAGCAAAAATTGATCCAGACATTATAGACAAAGTTCCAAATGAATCAATCGATGTATTATTAACTAGACATAATATATTTTGCAATTTAAAACAATAATTTATCGAATTAACAATTGCGATATTAATAATTAATCATTTATCGGTATAGATCAAGTATGGAAAGAAGGAGATAAAGTTGGGAGATGAAATAACCCCAACAGAATCGAAAGACATACCAGAGGTTCATTATAAGCACGAAGGCGGTGTTTTATATACGCTTGTTATGACAGGTAATATTTTTTTTTTTTATTAAAAATTTGCATTGTAATTAATTTTGACATTACTAAGCTCGGTAAATTGAATCTCAGTTCTTTTTTTCTCTTAATGATATTTCAAGAATATGAGAATAGACGAAATTAAATTGACGTTTGCTAATTATTTCCAAGTTATTATTTGTGATTAGTAATTCCTATAACAGAATATAACAATAGAATCATTTAAAAATTAAAAGAAAAAAGATGAAAAAAAAACCTAACAATAGACTTGTACATTCAAAATAAAATGGATAATTAAAACTTCAAGTAAACGTGTTTTCGAAATCGTATATGACCGGTTTCTAGAAAGCAAAAGATATCAATTTTTATTGTTTTCTTTATAATCATTGGTCACTATTTTGAAAGAAATTAATCTAATTCGTTGCCAACATGCGATCATATAGTATTAACATAGTTACACCCTTTCGTTAATGAAAATATCAATAATAATGCGTTGACGCTCGACTTCGAGTGGCAAAAATTGTAACATTTCGATGGTCTTATAATTTCTTATGACCTTATATCGCTATGCAAAGCTTCGGCCACTTTCACCGAGAAACAGGTTTCTCCTTTTCGCTCGCGTTTCCTTTGCACCGACAAGTATTTATCTTTTAGACGTTTTTCAGGATTTAAAATGCACAGATAAGATTCGGAAATATCCTACACAAATCGTCGAACTTTATCCTTCTATAATATTAAAATCAAATAAAATCTTAGTATAAATGTTTAGTGTAGGAATATAACAACATCATCTAGTCTCGATGTCTGTTATTATTTAAAGAGAGAGAGAGAGAGAGAGAGAGAGAGAGAGAGAGAGAGAGAAAACTGTCATTTGGTGAATATTTATTCAATACATTTATTTATACAATATTTTAATTTGTATAAAAATTTGTATCGATCGTCAAATCAATATCCAAAGCTTGGTAATATGTATAAATATTTTGATCCCCTCCCTTTTTACTCCATCCATAACATTATTAGAACTGTCAGAATTTCTAAAATTCACATTGTTAAAGATCCAGATATTCCAGTACGTGGTTATAATAGAGAATGGCAACATTGGGTTGTCGGAAATATTCCGGAAGATAAAGTACCCAAAGGAGAAGTACTGACTGAATATATTGGACCAGCGCCTCCAAAGAACACCGGTTTACATCGTTATGTGTTTTTACTTTTTAAGCAAAATCAAGGCTCCATAACGTTTGACGAAAGGCGCATAGGAAACAGGTGCCATTCAATAATTTCTTTCACTCCTTATATAACTATTCGCTAAATTTAATTGATGAACATTACTTTTTTGCGTAATAAATTTCATTAACTATGAAGCTTTTTTTTCACATCCTTATATTATATATATATATATATATATATATATATATATATATATATATATAATTTTGCTATGTAATAATTACTTTTATAATATTTAATGTGAATTTATAATTTTTAAGGGATAAAAGAAGAAATCGATTCTCCGTGAAGAAATTTGCTGAGAAATATAATTTAGAGGGGCCAATTGCTGGAAACTTCATGAAAGCTCAATACGATGATTACGTTCCAATTGCTCATAAACAAATTGGCATATATTAAGTAATAATATCTTAATATATAACTGTAATTTAATACCATTATATTATGAAAGTCTTTCAATTAATCTTACATTAGCTGATTTGTAAAATTGTAATTCGATCGAAGCGTTTTATTCGATATAAATAAAATTTTATATGTTTATAATGCTTAGAGAATTATTATTTTCTTTACTTTTAAGTTTTGCCAATAATGAGAAAAAACTTTAATTTCATTATACATATGTACATATGAAAATTCAACATCGTACAAACGAAGCGTTTTATCTCCCAAGTTTTAAATAAAAAATTTAAAACAATTCTATAAAGAAGTAAGTAATGAAGTAGGTCAAATGATTGATACTTAATTAAAAGCGAAGAAAGAAGCACTTGACTTCTGGATTAATACAGACTTTTAAGTATAATATATGCGCTCGCGCATATATATATATATATATATAGTAATTAAACCGATAAAAATCACGAGAGTCGAAAGATTAATGTTTACAAAGACGACACAATATTATTTGTTGATCATTGAACGGGCGGCGGGAGCGCAATTAGCAAAGAGCCGCATTGTTGGAGAAATCGTGAGTGTGTCGTAATTTAAAAATGCACGAAAGCAGGTACTGGGCATGCGTAAAAAGCAGGAAGAACTGCGCGCTTGTCACGTGATCAGTTATATGACTTCCATGACGAAGAGAGATATTCGTTGTTTCGTTGATGACGGTGACATAAAAGTCGAACCATTAGCATTGAAGAATCGGAGAAGAGTCGTAAGTAAATTACAGTATGACATATGTAGATCATGCGTATGTATCGTATAAACTTACTCTATCGTACTTTTATAATGATGAGATTTCGTTTTATTTGCAGTTATATGGCAGCTAAGGTAGAAGCAAGAAGCTACTATGGCTGTGACGTTCGCCATTTTGGCATGGCGTCAACCTTAAAGCGTCAACCGATGTAAATCAACGGTCATTTCAAGCTATGGTCACGTTTACGTGTTGCTGTAGCTCAAATTACGATTTGTTTGAAATACTGACAAGCTAAAATGAGTACTTTTTAATTCCTCTTTAAATAATTATTAAAGGTAATAATTTGGACAATGGGCATAATAAGCAGGAGTGAAATTGAAATTAGGTTTAATTTGCTTACCATACTTTAATTTCAGAAATAACATAGTTTTAACTAATTTGGCAAAAATGAAGTTAAAGAAAATATTAGAAACGAGTTTTACTTTACAGCCCAAAGAACCAAATCAAAAGCTTGAAATATATAAATGTAAATATTGTGGGCAGACTTATGCACGTCATATAACACGAATGAGCGTGCATTTACTTAAGTGCAGTGGCTGTCCGGGTGCAGTGAGAGAGTTGCTTGAAGAAAAAGTTAAAGCTAAAATTCTGGAGTCGTCCAAACATGGATTTAATAAGAAGGGACAAGTGAGGAATCTTAAAAAGATTCTGGAGGAAAATTTTGTCCTGCAGCCGCGAAATGGAACCCAAAAGCTGGATATTTTTAAATGTAAACATTGCGAACAGAAGTACGCACGTAACGCATCCAGAATGAGCTTGCACTTACAAAAGTGTTCGGACTGTCCAGAAGAAGTCAAGGATTATCTTGAAATGAATGTTAAAGAAAATATTGTTCATAAGGTGTGCAGAAAGTTGATACCGAAAAAATTGTTGGAAAGTAGTTTTATATTGCAGCCAAAGGAACCAAATCAAAAGCTCCAGACATTTAAATGTAAATACTGTGGACAAATATATGCGAGACACTCTACGAGAATGAGTATGCATTTACAAAAATGTATAGGATGTCCGGGAACTATAAAAGAATCGCTTTTAGAGACTGCAAAATTTAAAAGGGAGCAGCGCAGAAACGAGCTAAATTTGAAGAGAAGAAATTCGGAGAGCGAAGAAGCAATGAGCGAGGACGAAAATAATTTCGGCACGATTCAGGTGCCCTCGGAGAACGTATACTTTAATGACTCAGCGAATGAAAATAACTTTATCGACAGAATGTCGAAGCAAAGGCAAAAGTATTGCGAAGAGTTACTCGCAAAGGCAATTTATGCTTCTAATGCACCAGTCAGCATTGTAGATAACGATCATTGGCGTACGTTGCTCAATACTTTGAGTCCAGCTTTTCAATTACCGACTCAGCAGCAGCTTTCAACGTGCCTGCTCGAAAGAACATACGAAAATGTCAAAAAGAGCGTTGATCAAAAAGTAAGGGACGCGGTTTCGATAGGATTGCAATGTAGTTATAGGTCGAATGCAAGAAACGAAGGAATTATTCATTTTGTGTTAAGTACACCGGATCCCGTGCTTTATAAATCAATTTCATTATCTACAAATGTAGAGGATGAAAACTTGTATCTAGAGAAGATAAGTGAAGTGATCGATGAAGTTGGTGCCGAAAGAGTTTTAGGTGTTTGCTTGGACAGTATATCAACTTGCGAAAATCTTTGGGAACTACTGCAGCAGAAATACGAAGAGCACAATATTTCATTTTACAATTGTTCTTCGCAGACTTTAAATCATTTACTTAAAGATATGTCCGAATTGCCAGTTATTAGCGTTTTGTTAAAGAATGCTTCGAGTATTGTGAAGGAAATAAAACAATCGCATGTATTGTCGTCGTTATTGAGCGAGGCTCAAAAAGCTTCTACCGAGAAGAATCAGAATATTCTGTCACTGAAATTGCCAGGGATAAAGAGGTGGAATCCTTCTTTAATGTGCCTAGACAGTTTGCTCGAAAATAAAGACAATTTGCAATATCTTGCCTTCTCATCGAAAGGCGATAAGTACATAAGCAAGGTAACAAAAGAATTAATTTCAGACGAGGAGTTTTGGGCAAAAATAAACAGTTACATTAAGCTCATTAGACCAATTATTAAGTGGATTGCACATTTAGATGACGAGGAAGCAAAAATTAGCGAAGTTCCTGAAATATTTGTCGATTTGGAGCAACACTTTATCACAGAATTTCAAGAACCTTCGCTTATACTTTTATCGATTGAAGAATCCGATCAGATTTTAAAACGATTCAAAACACTATCCTCCACAGTACTACAGCCAATACATTTTGCTGCAAATATATTAAATCCCTTATTCAAAGGTGAACATCTAAGTTCGTCCGAATTTGTTCAAGGAACAGAAATTATAAGTAAATTATCAATAAAATTTGGAATGCCAGAGGACGATATACTTATTGATTTAGCAAATTATAATTCCGGCAAAGGAGTGTGGAGTGTAAATTTCGTTAAAAAATCAATAGCTCTGATGCCTCCATCTACTTGGTGGAAAGGATTTTTCAAAAATTCTTTTTTAACTAAAGTGGCAGCTTCTATTTTAGATCTTCCAAGTACGTCAATAGCAACTACCGATAGGTCGAACAAAAGAAATTCTTTGAAAGACGATCCTACTGGAAAAATCATGTACATAAGCCAGAACCTTAGATTATTAGATCCTAAAAGAAACGATAAAAATAACAAATATCAAGAAGACTCTCAGGAAAGAATCGAAGAAGAATTCATGATCGAAGACATCGAAGTTTATAACGAAGACATTGAAGAAGTTCTTGTCGAAGATCCCGAGCAGACCATCGAGGAAGCAGAAGTTATTACTGGTGATTCGGAAGAAATACGCGAAGAAGCTAACGAAGAGCAAAATACTGGATTATATATTCAGATTGTTAATGATGCAGGTGAAACATTCTATGTACAACAAAGTGTTCCATTATAAAAATAATCTTATTGTACTTGACATTATCATGATAATGAATTCTTTTAAGGAAAAATCACATCATTCATAATTTTAGATTACTATTTTTTATTATAGTAATAAACAATAGGCAATTTAATGTATTTATAATAAAATATTCAAATAATGAAAATGTTTAATCATTGGTACCTTAAAATAAAGTAATTTTGGATGAGAATTCGTCAATTTTAATCCTTTAATGCGTCATTTCTCGTATTGACTTAAACGGCCCACTGACGAAGAACGTATTATGACGTCCGTTTAGCCTTGAGTAATCTCAATTCCATTGTTGCTTGTATCGATGCTGTAGGTGCATGCACATGTTTAAATGACCATGCTAACCTAGTTTATATATATCGAGGAAAGTTGTTTAAATAAGATAATTTAAAAATGGGATTTGTTAAACAAGACGTCCATCGGCCAGGTGTTTATAAGAAATCAAACAAATTACATAAAACTGGAAGGCATCGAAGTAAAGGCTCTATTTCAAATGATTCTCGAGGTATATATTACTTTAAATTTTTCTATATAAAAATACTATATTATTTAAAACTTCATAGTTGCAATAGCTAAATCATTTACGTTATTCGATAAAATGGCTATTTTAAAATTAATTTAAGGAACATATATTCCCTTTATTACATACAAAGCAGACTAGAGGCTATGACTGTAGTCCAATGTTTAATATTGTAATGTCATTTTTTACATAGATAAGTGAATATTATTGAATATTAATTGAGCAGTGTATTATTAATGTAGGTAATGTATCTGTTAAGAAACTCTCGAAACATATTAAAAAAGAACTTGGCAAAGAGGCTCGCCGAAATCAGCTTCAACAAATTCGTTCAAATAAACGTGATGAAGTTCTGAAAAAGAAACGAAGTTTATATGGCCTGCAAAGTCCACCGATTCTTATCGCAGTAGTTGCTTTACAAGAAGATTTAAATGTAGATGGTATTGTAAATTTATTAGTAAGTGCAGATGAAAATGCAATTGTCAAAAACAGTTTGTGCGCTACTCACATCGGGTAATTTAAAGCTTATTACATTTTCCTTGATGGTATTTTCTTTTATTTAAGCAATGATATCTTAACTATTAATATTTAACAGTATACCAAAATTTAAGCAACGTTTTTCAATTGTCGTACCTCCTGTTGGTAATATTTTTGCAACTTTAGACTATGTGAAAGTAGCCAATATCGTATTATTTGTTACATCCGCATCGAATGCATCTGATAAAAGTCAAGATAACAATGTTCTGGATTCATGGGGAGAAGAAATTATTCAATCGATAATTTCTCAAGGAATGCCATCGCCCATTCTTGTAGTAACGGATACGGAAAGCTTGTCCATCAAGGTTCGTTATTAATTTAATTATACTTATCTATCTACAATCAATTTTCCATTTAATTATTTATATTTTATTATTATGTAGAAAAGACATGATTATAAACAGAATGTTCAAAAAACAATGTTTAAGTGGCTGCCAGAAGAGAAGGTAATGACTCTTGATAAAGCGGCAGACGCATTGAATCTTTTAAGACGAGCTGGTTCTCAAAAGCAAAAAGACATTACTTACAGAAATAAAAGATCGTACCTCTTAGCGGAAGATGTTAAATTTAATCTAAATAATAATGTAAGAAAAATGTTTAAAAAATGTTAATTAAAATGGGGAAATTATCAAAATTATGTAAAATCTTGTTAGGAGTCACCAAATGATTTTGGAATATTAGAAGTATCTGGATATTTGCAAGGATTACCTTTATCAGTGAATGGCTTAGTTCATTTATCAGGTTTTGGAGATTATCAAATGTCTCGTATTATCGAATCTAAGGATCCTTTCTCATTGGACTTACGTAAGGAAGATTCGCAAAAAAATATAACAGAAGCAAACGTTGCTGTTGCCGATCCGTCTAAACAAGTAAGTTTCTAGAAAATTAATAATTTGTCACTGACTCAGCGGCAACTTGATTGATTATTGTTCTTGTTTGTTGTAGGAGTCGTTAATGTCTGAAAATATACCTGATCCAATGGATGCAGAGCAAACTTGGCCAACCGAGGAAGAATTAGCCATGGCAAAAGTGAACCAAACAAAGAAGATCGTTAAATTTGTACCCAAGGGTACATCGGAATATCAAGCAGCTTGGATTCCTGATGAGGATGGAGGTTAGTTTGTTGTTTTTACTTAATTATTATATACCCTAATAATTTTAACTATATGTTTGTTTTACTTTATGTCCCATAGAAGAGTATAATGACGATGAGGAGGAATTTGATGATGATAGAATGACCGTCGATGATGCTAAATCTGAAGAAAATAGTGATGTAGAAGCCGAAGACAAGGAAGAGTATGAAACTATAACTATTTCCGAAGTTCCAAATGAACAACAGTATGATGAGAACATTAATCTACAAGAAGAAAAAGAAGCGATAATAAAGTTCAAAGGCAAATTATAAATATTGATTTTTGATAAACCGATGTGTAATCTAATAATTTTGTTTTAATTGCTAATTTTTAGAAGCTAAATTGGATTCTGAATTTCCTGATGAAGTTGATACACCACAAGATATATTAGCCAGAGTTCGATTTCAGAAATATCGAGGTTTAAAATCATTTCGCACAACTTTTTGGGATAAAAAAGAAAACTTACCGTACGATTATGGAAGAATATTTCAATTTCAAAATTATGATCGCACTCGTAGACGTATTTTTAAAGAGCGAGAAAATTTATTGGATGTGCAGGTATATTTTATCCTTTATATATGTATTTTATATAATTTATGAATTGCTTAGTCGTCAAGCACTAATTATATCGATTTATTTAGCCGGGATCGTACGTTACAGTTCACATAAACGGTATTAGTAAAGAATTGTACGAAGCTTATACAAGTAAATTTAATCACCCGTTAATATTATGCGGTATTTTGGAAAATGAGCATAAAATGTCTGTATTAAATCTTCGATTAAAGCGTACAATTAATAGTAAAATTCCTATTAAATCAAAAGAACGTCTTGTTTTCCAATGTGGATTCAGAAAATTTACAGCATGTCCCATTTTCAGTGAACATACTAATGGAAATAAACATAAGGTATGTATTATTTACCATAAATAAATAAATAAATAATAATAATAATGGGAATTTAATTATTTAAGTATGAAAGGTTCTTTCAACCAAATACCGTTATAGTCGCTACAATTTATGCTCCAATCACATTCCCACCTTGTCCGGTTTTATGCTATCTGAAGAAAAGTGACGGAAGCTTGGTACGTTTAATATTTTGCATACCGTGACCTCATTGAAATATCAAAATGTTATTAATTAAACGTATAATAATAAATTAGGAATTAATCGCTACCGGCAGTCTTCTGTCGATTAATCCCGAAAGACTCGTGATTAAAAGAATTATTTTAAGTGGACATCCATTAAAAATCCATAAACGCTCAGCTGTAATAAGATTTATGTTCTTTGATCGAGAAGACATAAGATGGTTTAAACCTGTGAAACTACGAACTAAATGCGGACGTAAAGGGCACATTAAAGAGCCATTAGGTATTTATATGTTTTTACTAGTAATTTAACAAACATACGTGTGCTGTGTTTATAATTTTTTTAAATGTAATTTAAATGTATAGGAACTCATGGACATATGAAGTGCATCTTTGACGGGCAATTAAAATCTCAAGATACAGTTTTAATGAATCTTTACAAAAGAGTTTATCCAAAATGGAATTATGAACCCATATTATTAACATTTAATACAAATAAAGCACCACCGACTGTTGTGAAAATGGAGTAAAGTTAAATGCAGAAGTATGTATTATGTATATGATTTTTTTTTTTTTTTTTTTTTTTTTTTTTTATGAAAATGTATTGTGTATTGATTGATACATGAAAATTTGTAACAAATTTAGATTTATAATTGATTTAATTCATAAATACGTTTATGCCATATCAATACTATTCATTTACATGACCTTTCATTGACAAAATTCTACACGAATGATAATTTGCACAAGCAATTGTATATTTAAAGAAAATTGTTCGGATGAATCGTTAGAAGTGAATTTGCTTTACAAATAAGTATATTATGCTTCATCACAGCATCATATCCTTCTTAGACGTATCCTTCCCATAAGTCGATATACACATTTCTTTAGTGTAGATAAAAACTGCTGTACAGTCTAAGACTATCTAGAAAACATTATTAATTTATAGTATGCACTTATTTACATCGTCTCGACAAATTATGATAATTGGCATTACTCTTTCAGTTATACACTTTTTAAATATTTAATTTTAGCAAAAAAAATAATTTACTTAAAAATTAAAAACAATAAAAAAAAAAGTATTTTATCAGACAAGTTAAAATTGTAAACGCGTATTTACGAATCACGCAATTGTTTATACTTGATAAAAAATTGAAGAAAAAAGAGAGAGAGAGAGAGAGAGAGAGAGAGAGAGAGAGAAAAAAAATATTTGAAAAAGCTACCTACATTTTTTTTACAATTAAGAATTATTATGTTCGTGCATGCCATTTACTAAATTGCAGGGCTATAAGGCCCGGTACAGTGAGATAATTATCGATTAAGTCATGCTTTGAACTTAAATTCGTAATACAAATTACCATACATTGTTTCTATACACATGGCGCACGCTCTTGACTTGTTAGTCACTAGTGTTTATATTTTATGTACAATGTCACAGTGTTCACACAATCAAGAAAAAAAGTGTACATCTTTGTAACAAAAGTATAAAAAAAAAAAAAAAAAAATTAAAAAAAAAATAAAAGAAAAAAAAAATGAAATGCGCTTCGATCGTACTGTCGTCTCTGTCTGTCGAGTAACGCTGTTGTCATTGCCGACGAAAAATATTTTTTTATCTTGAAATAAATTAATGCTTCTTCCTTCAGGTAGATAAGTAAAGCCGATGGTAATCATTAGCTCCGAATGCGCAATTGCACTTTGGACACTTTCGTTGTCGAGTCTCGTATCGAGTACGCAAGCAGTCCCAACAAAAAACGTGGAAACACTTTGTAAGAACGGCGTCTTTTCGCTTAACTTTGCAGGATGGGCATGTCAATGTCTCCTTATATTCGCGAAGTTCCTCCGCCATAACTTCGTCAACAGTTTCCGCGAGTTCGATCTTCTTCATTCTTTCTACTTTGCGTCTAAGCTGCGCTATTTCCTCCTTGAGTTGATTCAAACGATCGAAATACATTAAAACAAATGCCTCGCTTTCATCAAAATCGATACTTTAAAATCATTTAAATAACTTACTTGCAATCGTTTTGTTTTATACGCTTCGGCCTCCAAAGAACTTGTTTTCTCAGCGACAACTTGTTGAGCTTCCTTCATTTGCGAATGGTATTTTTCTATAACAGTGCAATGTAATTTAATAATTAAATTAAAATTATTATTTACAAACGTCATCATCGTAATCTTATTAATTAGCTCGTCTTAATTCGTTAATAATCAATGTCGCGATTATTATTGTCTAATTTTTAATTACGACAGAGTTTTTAACATTCATCATTTTCACATGTTTTTTTCCTTCTTCCGAAATCTTTCATTTCACTGCAAATTCACGACGTAGTACTTTTAACGTAAATACGCCTTTTAACATAAAAATTTGACGAAAACAATGATGATAATACTCATTGAAATTCCAACGATGTCGAAGACTAGTTGTATATAATTATCGTTATCACCCACATATGTTATTTTCAAAAATGTTACGAGACGACTAAAATTATTAATTCTCATTTTAAAATACGAAAGGAAAAAATGAAAAAAGAAAAAAAGAAAGAAAGAAAAAAATCAACATTTGATCCCGATCGTATCGACATATATGTATCGGGCTAAAGACACAAGAAAAGGCTAATGAAACATCAAAAATCAATAAAATAAAACAAACCGAGATGAAGTTTTAGATCAGCAGCCGACTGTGCACTCTCGATGGCCTTTCGCTTATGCATTTCCATCGCTTGTTGTCGCAATGCAAGTTCCTTTTCAACTGTAGCCAATGAATTTTGAAGCAATCGTTCTTTTTCCTCCAATTTCCTTACGACGACATTAGCAGCTTCGACTTGGGTTGTTAACGTTGAGACTTGTTCCTTCAGAACGTCCTTTTCTTCTCTCGCGAGCTTATGGAGTTGATTACTTTTAATTCTCTCTGTCATTAATTTAAAGTTGGCATCGTCTTTTTCGCGCAACTGTTGAATTAATCTCGAATTCTGCTCCTGCATATCCTCGAAGGCCTGCCCTGTCACCTCCATCTCGTTCAAAAGAGCTTCTTCCTCCTGCAACCATGCACAGTTCTATTTAACGTTACATCACCGTTCAAGCACGAGTAAAAACAAATATCGACTGCGTACACCCATTATCTATTACTGCATCAAAACATCATTTCACAATGATAATTATTAATCTTCTAAATAATAATTAGTGTATTAATACTTATATCAGTATTTACAACACAAAAAAAATATTGTTACCAAGATAATTTTCAATAAGAATTGTAATTTCTTTGCTGGCAAGTTATTATTTTTATACTCAAGAGAAATTTGTTAGATTGCAGATTAGAGGCAATGCATGCACCAAAAGCACGAGGTGTGTATAGGAGATGGAATAACAAAAACTACCTGTTTTTGGGTAGCGACCTGTCTTTGTAGCGAATAAGCTTGCTCCTCCAGCTTTTTAATTTTGATCTGCGCATCTTCGTCTGCTAATTTCTTTCGCTCTTCGCGTTTGCTTTCCTGAAAGATAAATAATCGTTAGTCGGTAAATAATGTGCCTTGGACAACATATTTTTTCTTTCGAGGTGAAGAAAAAATATTATATACGAGTTTGATACGCGTTTGCATATACTTGTATCTTTTTAATTTGCTGTTTTAATTCTTCTAGTTCAGCTCTGGTTTTACGTTCAGCAGCCATAAGTTGAGCTTTGTCGCGCTGTTCCTTTCCAAGACCCTTATACATGTCTAAGAGTAATTTCATTTCCTTCATTTCATTCACGGCTTTTCTATTTCGGTTAAAGAGACGATTAATTTATTAGCCACGATTATTAAGTCCATAAAAATGATTTATTCACAACTTGATAATACGTACTTTAGCTGGGCCTTTAGATCTCTTACTAATTCTGATTCTGCAACTTTGGCATCCTTAGCACGATGTGTCTGATCGCGATGCTCTGTTTTAACCGTTTCTTTCTTAATATCTTTCTCTCTCTTTATATCCTTTTCTTTCTTAAGAGTTGGAGATGCAAGTGCATGAGAGTCCGGAGTACCTTTGTTGTCCCCTTCTCCCGATTCAGTTTCAGTTTCTTCATCCGCTCCCTCTCTTTTTATTGGTAGTCCACCTTCTTCTTTGACCTTAATAAAATTTAATACAATGCAAAACTTCGTTGATTCGAGTTTTATTTTATCAATTACACTAATCAAGTAAACTAGGCACAAAAAAGTGCACAAAAAAACAAAACAAAAAAAAAAAAAAAAAAAAAAAAAAAAAAAAAAAATAAGTAACCCGACTCTATAGAAAATTAGAAATACTGTATGACGTATAATTAAAATACCTGCCCAGATCCTGGTAGAGAATTTGAAGCATCTTCTTCCTTTCCACTTCCATCGGAATTATTGCCTTCCTTATTTTCCTGCGTCATTTGCTGACCAAGTTTTGTTGTCAATTCTTCCACCTCTTTTTTCAACTGTAATAATTAATATTAACATGACATTAAAGCTGCGCCCATCTACACTCATTCGCTTATTATAATGTTTAAAAAGGATAAAAGTAAATTATTTATTATTATACTGACTCTTGGAACCTCGGAAGAAACTTCTTTATATTTTCGTTTGTATCTGTGAACTTCGCCTTTGAGCTGTTGATTGTGATTTTGTAGCGAAGTGATGAGATGTCTCATTTCTCTATTAATAGGGCCAGTCTGTTCGTTCGCTGCCAAATTTTGTTCAAATTCAATGCGTAACATTTCATATTCCTTTCTCAATTGAGCTAACACATCTTCTAATTGTATACACTCGCCTCGTAGTTTTTTTTGCGCCATTAATTCCTCGCTCTAAAATAATTTAAATAATTATTTTTTTTTTTTTTTTTTTTTTTTTTTTGACATTTAATTGAAACTTGATGGGAAATGCATAAAATATTTTTAAAAAATAAACAACAGGATATATACTAACTTCCATCATTTCTATATGACGTAAGTGAGCATTTTTACTGGATTGAAGTTGCTGTCTAGCCTCATCCAATTGCGTTTTCAACTGCATGGATTCATTATATAAAACGGAAAATTGAGACTGTAAACATTTGTACTCGGTTGTTTCAACAATAACTGATTCCGGTAGTTGACGAATCTGATTAAAGAACAATTACTTTTATTAAAATTCAATATGAATTTTATAGTAAAAACTGGTTAAGTCAATGACTTACATCCATTTTTAATTTCTCTACTTCTTTTAATGCGTCGCGATGTTGTTGGTGTAATTTATCTAACTCTTGTAATCTATTATTAGCCAATTCGCGAGTCTCTTCAATTTCCCGTTGTAAATCTTCCAACTTTAATTTAAATATACAAATGTTGAGTTAAATTAATCATTATTATCGATTCAAGTAAAATACAAATATATTTATTTATTCTACCTTAGTTTGTGATACGCCGGTTGCGACCAAAGTACTTGGCTTATTAGTTCCTTTGTCGTCCGAGCCATGAATTTGTTGAAATGCTTTCAATTTCTCAATAGCTTCGCCAAGATGATGCTCTAATTTATCGTTTCTTGCCCGCACTTTATTAAGCTCATACTGCAAATCATCCACTTGATTGCGAAGTTCAGCAGCCAGCGTATCTTTACCAGTAATGGTATCTTGCAATTCGGACATTTTCAATGAGATAGTGTGATACTTTTCATGCAATTGAATGTTAATTGCTTGTAAGTTTCTATTTTCCATTTGAATTTCACCGTTAGCTTTCTTCACCACTTCATCAATGTTTGGCGCCTCTTCTACAATTTCATATAAACTAAATGTAAACATCTTAAGAAAAAAATTGCGTATACGCGATTAATTAATTACCACCATCAAATTCTCCTTTGAGAGCGAGCGTTATTTTTTCATTCCTCTGGGACAGTCTATCGAAGGCTTGCACAACTTTTGAAACGGCGCGTTTAGAAACTTGAACGCGATTAGCAAGCTTGTCGTCCAATTCCTCTTTATCCCATGAAGATAACTGCATAAGGAAAGAGGTCGTTGCTTCGCTTTCATCTATATAAATAAAATTTAAGGTAACATACAATCAAAGTCCTTAATTATTTCGTTAAAAAGCAGACCAAACATAAGGCGTACTTTTATTTTCAGATTCATCAGCCGTTTCTGCATCAAATCTTTGAAGTAGCACACGAATATCTTCATTAAGTTGATTCCAATAGCGATTAACTACGTTTAGTACTGCATCGTCCTGAGTTTGTCGTTTCTCTAATTGTTCTATCCTTTGCCTTAACTCTACTTCTACACGATGTCGTTGCTCCAATCTCTTTTGTTATATTATATAAAAAAGAAAGGAAAAAAAAAAAAAATTTTTTTTTTTTAATATTTATATTATTATGATATTTACCCTTTTCCTCGAAAGGATTATTATTCCTATCCTTATTATTAAGATTACCACCATGAAGACTTTTCAACCACTATCGAAGCATCGACTTTCAAAAATATACAATCTTATCTTTATTCTTATCATATTTTAACCACTGGCTAAAAACTGCTTATCATCAGTGACAAAATATAATTTACGTAACATAACGGCTTTGTTTATTCAAAAGCACAATAAAGTAGAAAGGTCGACCGCCCTTTCTTACAAACATCTTCTTGTTTAATGCAATAACCAAACGCTACAATACAACATTCCACACGACTTTATACATATTTTTCTTATATGACAATGAATTCTACTCAACATCTGTGATATACTTGCACAAATGTTAAGTCCTAAGGAGTGGTCATACATACCTGAGCCAATTTCTTATTCTGAAATTGCAGAACCTTCATATCCATCTCTTCGAGAGTCGATATAGGTCCAATGAGTATTGGCTCGAATTGGACCTTTTTGATGGGAGGCTGGGAGCCCGAGTCCCCGCTGTCAGCCGATCTCTTCGACATTTTCGTTACTTTTCCTTCAAATCCTGGTTCTGCAAATCAATAGGGGATTATCAGAGTTTTCATGACGAAATTCGCTCCAACGCAATCAGCCAGTGTTTGTATCGATCGCCTCGCAAGTAAGAGAAAAACGAATAGAGCGAAGTTTATTATACCTTGATTAAAAAAGGTGTATTGACGCGCTGCGCCCGTGACCTTGTGTTGCAAAGATGCAGCCCGCGCAAAATTATGTCATGTTTATGTGCAGAATATCGTATGAAGTCAAAGGGAAAGGCCTGCGATTCAACCAACCGAGTCGAGTGCTGAATAGGCTAGTGATCCTCGCATTTTTAAAAGCACCAGAGGCTGACGGAATCGCTCTTTGGAACGGAAGACGCCATTTCTAAGTTGCTGTTGGAGCCGTCGGAGGGTTTCTTACTTTCTTTGGAGAATTTTGGAGCATGTTGAAGTGCGCTGTGTAATACGCCATTTTGACTAGTTGACCGAGTTATCGAATGCGAGGCGCCAATTTACAAAATTTTCGCCTATCCCGAACAATCGGCCGAGCGCTACAGTGTTCGTTCATTTAACGAATGTTGATATTTAAAATAATGCATGCCAATGTAAATAATAAAGGTGGTCACGAGTGGATAGGGCATTTGCATTTCTTTTATTTCTCTTGTTTTTCAGAAACATTTGTGAGAAACGTGACGGTCGATCGTGCAAATGTGTAAGTATATTTAATTGATTTTAAGTAAATATTTAATGCTTTACTCGAGAGACGAGCAAAAAGACGAGAAACATTGTTGTTAAAAGTCTTTTGTAAGTATTAAACTGTTGTCAAAAAAAAAAAAAAAAATTAAACATTCATGATAGAAAAAATTATATTTAAATTGCCTAAAATGGAGATATTAAAAGTATATGTTGAATAAACGGAGATCGTCTGTAAAATACATAAATTAAACACTGCTTTCGGATTTTTATAATTAAATATTTATTTAATGTATAAAAATAGTTAACAATAATTTTTATTTAAATACATGAGTTTATTAAAATCTGTAGCCGTAAATTTTGATTTTGCAATAAAATTTATGATGTAGAATATTTACATGAATATTGACTGAATATTGTCATCTCATATTATTTGACATTATTTATAATAATGTAAAAAACAAAAAAAAAAAAAACAAAAAAAAACAAAAAAAAAACAAAAGAAATCCCAATAAGAACGAATGAATTTGACTTTGACATGGATCACAAAATTTAGCTAATTAATAGACTATTCTTATCATTCTTATATTTCTTAAATTAAATTACCATGATTGTTATCAAAATTGCTTTACATCAAAAGTACTTTGACAATTACACATTTTTGAAAATAATAATTAAAATGCTAATACATCACAAACTACGTTCTTAATAAATTACAAATCATTTTTATTTAAACGATACCTTATTATTTTAAGGAATTTTCTGTTTGCCATTGAATCGCAAAATTCATGGCCATAAGGAACTCGTGTAATGAACATTCTCTCGCTTGATTATAAAGTGCGTGCGCTAAGAAAGGTATTTTTTTTAATGTTCGTCCACTCATATTTATACTCTTACAACTTAATTGATATAAGGTAAGACTGTTTTTTGATTCCGAATTCTCTTCATAATTCAAACGCTTTAAATACTCCATATCATGAATTTTTTCAGGTCGTATAAAATTTGTCTAAAAATGCAAATATTTTAAAATTACAATTAGTAAATAATTGGTCTAAATATAATGAACATGAAGTGTAATGAGTATGTAATGCAAATAAACATTTTTGATTATTTAACTAACTGATTTAAAAAAATGAAGCTTTTACACATTTTTGCATTTTTAAAAATATACTAAAGCATTTATTTAAATATATATTAAACGATGGGTATGTTTATAATACAATGAAAAATAAGATAATAATAATCTTTGACTTTTGTTTGAATAATGAATATCTATGAAATATTATTATTAAAGAGTCTTTAGTAATCAAAATGTTCATACATCATATTCAACAATTATACGTATACTTTACCCTCATTAATTCTTCCACACAATTACTGTAAATACTGTAAATAGCTTGCTCATTTGGAAGAGATATGTACAATTTAATGTCTGCGCGATCCACAAATGCTACATCAATGACTTCTGTTAAATTACTTGTTGTTAATATCAAAACATTTGGAAATTGTTTTATATTATCGAGTTGCGTTAACAGAGCATTAACAACTCTGATGGAGTCACTGGGTTCGCTTCCAGTTGTGCATGCTTTGCGAGCATGAGCCAATGATTCGATTTCGTCAATTAATATGAATATTAAAGCTTTTGGATCTTGCAACAATATTTTGATTTCATTAAAGATGTTCATAACTAATTTACCACTCTATGCACAAACACAAAAATCATATAATTAAAGTAGTGATTAAAAAATCATTTAAAAAGTATCATTTTCATTTATTATACCTCTGAAAACCATTTTGAAAATAAGCTATGACTGTTTATTTCAATAAGTTCACCACGAGTAAATTTATGTCCAAGACGGATCGTAATTTTTTGCGCTAATGCTTTACATAAACTAGTTTTTCCTGTTCCAGGTGGTCCGTGTAATAAAATCACCTTATTCCAACTTATTATGTGAGGGTTTACTTGTCGCTCAGAATATACCATTGCAGTTTCAACAAAGTTTACCAACTATAATTTTTATATTATAATTGTGTTATAAAAACAGGAACCACGCTAGTTTTCAAAAATAGCTTTACTTACTTTTTCCTTAACACCTGGATCGTAAAATAAATTTTCCCAAAGGCCAAAGAATTTATCTGAAGGTAACATCCAATGCGCAGCAGCAGATATTTCTTCTCCATCCTTATGTATGGTCTCAATTGCAATATCTTCTTGATTTAAACGGTATACATAAATCTTGATAATCGTTTCTTTCAACAATTTTACATGTATTCCCTTCAAATTTAAATTTCATCACATTACCAAATATCAAATTTAACTCCTTCTTGGCAAAAATTATTTCACATAATATAGCTTACCTGTTCTTGTTCGCAAGAGCAATAAATTGATTGAACATGGGTTTTTAATGCGTCAGTAGAAAAATTTTCTGATAATAATGGTTTATTTAAAATAATTTCTTCCAACGAATCAAACTCAGTTTGCACTAATTTTTTAATATCAAATTCTGTTAACAAGCTGTAATAAAATGTTTCCATGACTTTATATAAATATTATTTCATAGTATAATAACAATTTTAATTGTTGACAACAATAAAGGATAATTTTTAATAAATATATTTAAAAACTAACATTAATGATATTATTAAATACATACCTTCCAACGTTTTGACAAACTTCCACGTGTAACAAATTCAGCATCTTCAACGAATAAACTTTATTATTAAAATTAACAAAAAAAAAAAAAAAAAAAAAAAAAAAAATTACAAAAATAATTTATCCCGCTAAAACGAACCGAATAGTCAACAAGACCATAAACTACAGTATCATAGAAGTTATAATGGCTAATGGAAATTTGATGCTTTGTTATCGATGAAATTAAAAGAAGCCAAGAACCATAAAAAGTACAAATTATTAAATTTGCTTCGTATTGTTGTATAAATTTTGAATTGCACCAAATGTAGCTGTTTTTACTATTAAAGTTATTCATTAATAAGTGACAAGTGATAAGAATTTCATTTATTTCTTCATTGATCTTTATAATCAAAGTATAAAATAATTTGTAATTTTTAAAAAATGGACTGTTAACTATAATTGTGTATACTGCTATGTATTCTTGTACATTTATATAATAATAATAATAATGAAATTTTCAATAGAAATAACGATACTCTTATCAAATAGTTGAAACGAATCATATAAAGTTTATATATTAAAATATATCAAATAATTTAAACGAGGAGCTACTAATAATTAAAAAAAAAAAAAAAAAAAAAAAGTTTTTTATTACATAGAGTGAATTTATTTTTAAATATTAAAAAAATTTGTTTAATTCTTTATAATTCTGAAATTTTCTTTTTAAATAGTCACAATATTGTTAAATAGTTGAACGGAATCATATGAAGAATTATAAATACATCTGTACATTCGTTACCGTAGAAACCAAGTTTTATTGTCAATAATATTTTGGACTCAAAATTTTTTAATTTTATTTTGTACATTTATTTAAAAATATAAAATGGTAAATACTATGAAAATTGATGAAATAGTTAAACAACAGAAATCAAATTCTAAAGTAATGAAATTTACTTTAGACGAGTGGCGTCATAATAATTATTTAAGGTAATACTGTATTCATACAGAACGTGCGCGCATACATTGCACACACGCGCACGCACACGCGCACGCACACGCAAATTATTGAAAAGCAAAAATGATATTTTTAAAGTATATATACATAAATTGTTTAATTTATTATAACAACTATTATGAAGCTGAAGCTCATGACATTTTTCAAAAACAAAAATTTAAATACAATATTAAATTTATATTTTGTTTTATAACAAAAACATAAATTATTTATAGATTTTGTTGTTCCGAAGCTCAGCAAGAATTATCTCGTCAAATACTTGCTAAATCTGAGCAAGTTTGTGCATCAGCTAATGAAACAATTAAAGCTAATAAAGATGGAACTAATCATTATCTTGCTCAGAAAATAAATGACATTAAAATTTATAAAGAAGAGCTTATTTGCAATAGAAATGAACTTCTTTTAAAATTAGATACACTTTCAGTTTATAAAAATCGTGTAATGCAATCTCTAAAATTGTTACGAACCAATGCTATGGATAGCTGTAATAAATGTTTGATCGCTAGGTAAGATATTTAATTTTATAAATAAATAATTGTAGGTAAATATTAATTGTTCAGTTTCGTGTTTTCAATTTCATTTTAGGGATCAAAGATTAGGAATTGATTTGGTGACTGATAATATAGAAAAAGAATTACGGAAAGAATGCGAAGTTATAAATTATGCAGATCTCTTAATATCTCAATTATTAGAACAAATTCAAGAACAAATTCGATGTACGAAAGCTATATTATACAAAATCGATCATGATTTAGAAGATAAAGAACTTAATTTATTAATCGATCAACATAATTCTTCCCTTAAAGAGAGCAATTTGAATCTTAGTATTTACGAAGGACAGATTCCCATAAGCACTTCGTATGACTCTTTAATAAATTCCGTGATTAAGATATTTTTCGTGTTATAGAATTATAATAATTAAATTGATAAAATGCAATAAATTCTTTATAGGAGTATTGCCGTAGAGGAATGGGAAAAACGCACAAAAAACATCATAAATAGTTCACTTAAAGAACTGAAATCTGCCGAAGCGATTTGTTTTCGCGCTGATCGCGAATTAAGAAAAATAATAGCCGATTTGGTAAACCAGAAGAACAGAACTGATGAGGCTCTAAAGAATCGAATTCAAGAGACTAAGGAAATTAAAGAAAAATTAGAGCAACGGCATTCTGAGGTAAATATTACAAAAAGTAAATCAAAATAAATAAATAAATATAAACGAAATGTATTTTAAAATTCTAACGATGAATATAATAAATTTAGATATTTTCTCAACTAAATAAAGTAACGGACAAAATTACAGAATTGGAGATAAAAATTTCTGAGAAAGAAAAATTTATAGCATTAACATATACTAGATTAGGAAATCGTTGTCAAAGACCAAATTTTGAACGTTGTTATGATCTTGTGGAAAAAAGTCTTATTAACGAGGTTAATGATATGAGAAAAGTTGTTGCTCAACTTCAACAAACATTATTTGAAGTGATTTAATATTTTATTCAAATACATACTTATAAATTTATCTTACATTTATTTAAATATGTACAATAAAAATTTGTAATTTTTTTAAGTTGAAACATGTATTTAAATTTGTTTCAGGCTCAAGCTTCACTTCGTTTCTTACTTAAAATGCAAATACAACTCGAAGAAGATATTAATATAAAAATTAATTCATTAAAAATCGATGAAGTTTATTGTATGACAATACATCAAAATATAGATTATCTTATATTTTAATCGCTTAATGCCTATTTTGTTCAATTTTTTTAAACAAGACATTTAGTTTGTAAACAGATTTGCAAGCTTTTTTGACTGTATTTTGTTTCTATTCTTAATAGCCAAAGCAAATAATTGTAATTCTTTGTTAACCGTAGATTGTAAAGATTTATCAAGCTCGGTTGCTTTGTTTAAATCTGCAATTGCTTCGTTCTCATTCCAAGCTCCAATGTGAGCTTTACCTCTTCTAAAAAGAGCTTTGACATTATCTATAAACATATTTATAAAGCAGACAAAGTAATTATTAAATATAATATGCGAATATGTATTGTACTCTTTTTAATATGTACCTACCAGGATCGCTTTTAAGTACGGTAGTACAATGTTCTATCACGGCATAATATTCTTTATTCAGTAACTTACATTGTGCATAATTTAAAAGCAGAGGCAATTTCATGGAATTTAAATTTAACCATTCAATGTCATTTGGCTTTTCTCTAATAAACATAAATTCTAATAAATATTTCATTTGGATAATAAAATTTCAATCTTTATTATATTAAGATCATTTATTTACGCAAGCATAAGCTGCTCCAATATTCCAATTGCTTGTGCATAAGTATTGGCCGCGGATTCATAATCCTTTTCTCTAAACTTAACATTTCCTTTCTCTCTTAAAATTGGAATATTTTTCAGTTTTTCATCTTCGGTCATTTGCCACGACTCTTTATCATATTCGTGTGGATGTATAACTCGCAATAATTCTAGAACATTAAATTTACATTCGCAACAATTCTCGATACCTATTCTTTATTAAAATCTTGTTTTTAAAATATCATACCTATCGTAAATTCTAAATCTTGAGGGTTTTTAATAAGATCGTTTAAATCATCATATCCCACACCCTCGTTCTGCAACGTTACACCGCAGCAGTGGCGATTACGTTTTTCACTCGCAGGTTTACCAGCCTCTCTAAGAGTTTTAGATACAAATGGATATGCACTAACTAGCTAAAACAACAAAACCTATTAAAATAATTACTTTAATTTTATCACATTAAGAAATAATTTATATTTACACTTTTATCAACTGTGTATAATGCAACTTCATTTATAGCCATTTTTTGAACTATAACTTCCCAAACTTCAAGTTTGAATTGTTTACCTATTACTAATTCCATTGGTTTCCCTATTATTTTACTATCATCGATAACAGTCTTTGAATAATCACATTTCGTAGTTTTAAAATGAAAGATCACCTAAAAAATAACGGGCTTATTTTAATTAATTGTGAAAAAATTGTCTATAAATCAATTGAAGAAATTTGAAAATATTATTAATATTATAAGCAATAAAGTTTTTGTTTTGCTAACTTTCGTTCCAGGCGTATATGTGGTAAATATCTTTCCAGCATGAAGCATACTTTTCGTAATAAGATTTTCCATTGTTAATAAATTTGTTAGAATATTCGGAAATTATTACCATTTGAACGTCATAATAAATTCTTACAGCACAACAAACCAATTATCATTAACATATATGTATTTACGTATTTATTACGAACAGCTGATTACTATTAAAATTCAACTATTTAAAACTTGGTGATGTAGTAAAGGTAGTACTTTATTATACATATATATATATATATATATATATATATATATATACATGTATTAGAATATGATCTTTTCTTCTTTTTTTTCTTCCTTATTGTAAATTTTAATATTAATTATTTCCCTAAGAATACGAAATAATTTAATATTTGTTATAACATATTAAGTCGGTACATACGAAATTCATTTATTTCTCGTAACCCTACGTACCCACTAAAGGAGCTGAAAAATGTTTTAAATTCAACATAAGATAGCGCTTATGTCGCTAATCATAGAGAAAACTGACATAATCGATTTTCTAACTCGATCGACCCAATCGGCAAAAGCGTAAATCGTATCAAATTCATAACAATAATTTACCTACTTTCAATTAAGTCCATTTTTTTTTTTTTCATTTGAATTTAACTTGATCCCATGCTGTTAAAAAGAAAAAAAAGGAAAAACAAAAGGGGAAAAAAAAAGATGGGAAAATTAATCAAAATTACTTATCAATAAATGTCAAATAAATTCAAGTAATTTAAATTTACTTCTTAATTTACTTCATTTTAATTGTATTAAAATCTTGGAATATTGCTTTACACGAAATGTGATTCGATCCATTCTTAAGTATTGGCAATAATTGAAAATTCTTCAGTCATTATTATAAAAAAAAATCTGCCTACTCAAAATTGTTTATACGTGCGTAGTGCAGATTTCTAAGACAATAATAATATCGTCCGGAGCAGGTAGATGTAGTAAATTAAAAAAATTTAAACGAGTATTGCCGATCGACTAATGCTATCTAGTGCAATTCGTTTTAGTACCTATTTGTGAATAATTGCAAAATTGCGAGACAAAAGTGCCAATATCGATGCCAAACCGTTTCTTAACTTTGCACAACTAATCGCTTTATTAAATAAATATTTATTATTACTATGATTATTTAATAATTAGTACAATGTGGCTTAATTTACTTTAGCGTATTCATAAACTTTAATTTTAAAGGAAGTTTTTTTTACGAAAATTTTTTCATTTTCACGTTAATTTATTTTCTTAACTATTAAAAGTTCACGTGTACTTTATTGGCTTAAATAATATTCATTTAATTTTTCTATTTTGAAAATTTCTTGTACTTTTAATTTTGCTCTTCATTTTTTAACCATTAGAACTGTTTCCATTTTTTTTTTTACTCGTACAATATAATAAATTTCATACTTGTATCAATAAGGATTATTATTCATAATTACACGCATTTTTTATTAAATTAAATTCAATCTTCTTCATGTATTGAAAATATAAATTTAAGTTAAAATGTTTGGAAAACGTTTATTTGCGATAAGTAAATAAAATAATAAGTAAATTAAAATTTCTATCAGAGCAACAACTAGTTAAAACTGTATATTCGTTAGGTAGTCTAATTAAAAAAAATTATAAATAACACTCTCAAAGAATAAGAGAAAAACAACAAATTGGCGATGAAAAATCATTGCACGAAAAATTTTATAATTAAATTTTTTACATTCTTTCATACAAATACAAATTCTGTATTATATATTTATATTAAATGGATACACCCATAAATCCATAAATCGTAACGATGTATCTGCAAAAACAAAACAAAACAACAAAAATTAATTAAACATTAATGAAAATCCGTTCATTTCAAAATCAATTCGTACTTGAAATTTATATTGCAAACAAATTCTTTTTGCCAACTTTCTTTGACCTATACGAGTTAACATAATTTTTAATATTTTCATATAACAATCTCTTCATTATTCACAATTTATCTATCTTATTCGTTAATAGAATGCTACAACAGGAATTACGTTTCCAATGCATTTTACAAACGTACTATTAACGATTAAATCATCAATATCGATACTCATTCGGTTAATCAATTTATTTAATCAAGTTTAATCAATTGCTCTTTAATCAAATGCTCCTGTCATATATTTAGAAAATGTGGCATTTATGTAGGTCTCCGTGCAGACTTCTCAAGTCAATTAAAAAGTTATTGTTTCTCAATTACTCGTCTTGTTAAAATAGCACAGATTTTAGAGGGGAAAAAAAAAAAAAAAAAAAAAAAAACTTGACACGAAACATGGACATTTTTCCCTTTGAAGATTTGCGTTTGTCTAGTTTTATTTCAATGTTTCAGTTTTTATCATCTAGATCAAGAAGTTGTAAATTGGTTACTAGGATATTAATTGTTGTTAACGTAAACACGTAATGTTGGAGAAAGATTTTTAAAAATGTTTTTGTTTACTTTTGATAGTTTATCATAATATTAGCTAATTTATTTTTTCTTTATCATGCATCATATATTTTCACTTTCATGTTATAGCCGACAATAATGGCCGAATCAAGATATCGAAAATGTAATTTACATTTGCAAATAAATTGTCGCTTCGAAACAATTTATTAGTATTTAATTTTCTTGGAATAATTTCTGATATAATTGAGCCAATTACATTAATATTTGATTTAATATTGTAATTTATAATTTTTATTATAAACTTTTATTAAAAATTAATAGTACAATATTTCACATTTTAAAAGTAAAAGTTTTGTATGAATTAATTACTTTTACACAGAATATTATATTTCTTTTAATCGTTGTTAATGCTATTGTTAATTATAAAATTTGCAATATTTATGTTTTGCATTGTATAAACTATTTCTATTGTAAATACATTGTTGATATATCATAAATTTTTTCCATATTACTTATGATTAAAAGTAACTAATATTCTCAGTGAGTAATAATTACAAATAAAGTAACGGAAATGTTTAAATATATAAAAATGTAAAAATAAAATTTTATTTTGTATTTTACAGTACCCTAATTTCTAATATATTTTTCCCAAATTATATTATAAAAACAATTCTTAGATATCTTGTAAGAATTGATTTATATTAATTTACTTTTACACAAGCGTACACTCATTTATTTAAATACATCATTATAATAATAAACATTACGATATTAAATATTAAATATTACATTAAAACTTGCGAATTATTTTAATTTTTAATTAAACGTAGATATTTAATAGAAATTCTGAAATGAATTTTTCTTTAAATAACTCAATAGTCTCATTCATCATATGATACAAAATTTGTAAATTCTCTTACAGAATAAAATTTTTTAACATTAAAAATTTTCTAATAAATCTCTAATACATTTATTAAAATTATCTTATAAAATGATTACTTATTTATGAACAATTATTTTCATAATTTTATAGAAATATGTAGCCAACTTTTCCTAACTATAAATTTACATTTACTTAGCTCTGTTTATAAAATTTATTCAATACTTTTATTTGTACATCAGTACATTCTCCACTATCCACATTATTACTTCAGATCAATATTTTATCAATAAGTTTACAAACGAATTAGTTATGTATTATTATTACGTTATCAAAAAAGTGATATGTCCGTATAAGACGTCAGTTAGATTCCTATGTACAAAGCTAAGATATCACGATTGCACGATTTAAATTATCGATTTAATATTTTGAACTATATCTTATATTATTCTATAATAAAAATGTAATAAATTAATATATATATATATATATATATATATATATAATTGGTTATCGTAAAGAGAATGTTCGAGTATTGATATATCGAGTAAAATCTACGTGTAAAACCAGGAGAAACAAAGTCAAATAAATATAAATCTCAATTGATGTTTATTCTATTTCTCCTTGTAATAAAATAATCTATAATGTACTGTATTTTAAATATATATTAATATGAAATTAAAATTTGTTAAAATGCATTAAAAAGCAAATTTAAATAATAATTATACATATATTATATATGGGTCGTTAATTGAGAATTTGAATGTATTAAAATTTATTAAACATCACATTGTTTACGACTCGTTAAATATAATATTCTGTCATGAATTGTTCTATTGTTTTATATTAAAATACTACAATCTTCTTCATTAAACCTTAAAAAAAAAACAAAACGAGTATTGTATCGATAAAATATTTCAATAATGTAGATTGAACTTTCAACTTACATCATTCCTTACAAAGTTTTTAAAAGAACATATTTAATAATGCATCTATCATTTAGTTTATTACAGAGTTGTAGATGTAACAGCGCTTACTCCATGAACCAATATAGTTGGAGGTAAATTTGCAGTTAATTCAGTTAAAAGTTGAAGATATTGTTTTTGTAAAATATCTTTATTCCATTTATTAAAGTTTGGAGGTGCGGGTAAATATATAAAAATGGCAGCTGTTTGCGCACAATAGTCTTTGATCAGTTTGTTAACGCTAGAAAACAATGTTAAATACTTACAATACGTAATAAATGTAATATAGACGTTCATAAAAAAAAAAAAAAAAAAAGGCTTAAAAGTAGGGTAAATTTTAATATTTTTTAAAATGAATGGTAGGAAATACAAGTTTCTTACCTTAAAATATAAGTTTTAGATATACTGTTTACCGGACTTTCGATAGCATCAACACTTGCTTCAAAAGAATTTTCAACATTACTCTCCAACAAGCAGTGATTATTGAGTTCTTCAATTTGTTCACACCAATCTGTTATTTTAGTTATAGATGCTGATATACGCAGCATATTCAACAGCTTTTTCAATTTATTTTCATTGGAGACTCGGGGAAATTCATTTATTGAATTATGTGATTCGGAAATATTTAAACTGGAGCTGCTGCTTTTAGCTATTTCACAATGAAATACTCGAAGATGTAAGTTTTTCCAAACAGGAACCATATTTATGATGCACGCTAATTGTAGCATAAACAAAGAAGTTGTATCAAAAGGATCTTGATCCGATGGTTGAAAGAAATTTACAGGCCATACATCAATATATTTATAATTAGAGTTTCTGAAATAATATTTTTACAATTTAATTTTTACAAATAAACTACTCATAGAAAATATTTATTTACTATAAGAATTCTCAAAATCATATCGTTCATTCTTCTTACTTAGATATAATATAAATATTATATAATTGTTTATTATTAGTATTAGCTTCGACGAATATTTATTAACATGATCATCATTATAATCTTTATAAGTATTTGAAAGTACGTGATAAAATACCTACTTTGTTAATTGAGATTTGTCAAGAATATGAAAATTTCTGCAAAGGCATAAATTTTTTTTCATATTTAATACATCTTGACACATACCGACATATTCAAGCTCATCAATTATTTTATCCACATTAGGCTGTCTGAGAGGAAAAACTTTATCATTAGTGCTGGTTGTAACATTTTCAAACATTGTTGTCGAGTATAGAGAGGTTTGAAAAAAATCCTTTGGTATTTCATTATCGTAAAATCCAAGAACAATGGTATTGGGTTTCATCGCTCCCATTCCGGATAATCTTATTAAATGGTGAAGACCTTCGCGAACAGTTTTCGTTACTGTTAATTCAATAAAAGCCTTTACTTTCATATGATCAACTAGACTGAGCCAATGAGGATATTCTTCGATAGTCGGATCAACTTTTCCAGAAAATTCACCAACTTTTATATGTCCAATAACATATAATCCACCTTTCTTTAAATCGTTTATAAAATCAATTAGCGGACATACAGATCTTGGCGATGCAATCATAAGGAGTATCTGAGGTCGCCAGAATTTAACGTGATTTTTACGAGAATCGAGCATCAGTAAATATTTTCGAACTTGATGGAAAATTAAAGCTTGAGAGATACTGCCCCAAGCTGCATTTTTACTTGGAGAAAACAAATGCAGTACAATTACTAATACAAGACATAATATAATACTGCTCGATGCGTAGATGCTATTTATAACGAACATCATGATAAGTGTTCCCAGAAGACCTATTGTTGCCGTATGCCAAGTAAAGTAATTAAACGTAGGTCTAAAATTTGGAGCACTAGCTAATTCTAATCCAAGGCAGGCTAAATTCGTAGCCAGATAACTCAATAAAAAAAGAACCGAATTGATTTGAGCAATAGTGTTCAATGAACCAATAAGTAGAATTATTTGAACTAGAGTCCAAGAAGTTAAGACGGCTCCAATTGGGTTACCTTTCCAAGTAGCGCGTAAAATAAAATTCAGCATGGAACCTTAAATAGACGAATAAATGAAAATAATGTTCTAATTTTAAGATAAGGATATTATTTTTCTATATACAATTACCAAAAACATTGTCCTTAGCGAGTGCTTCAAGAACTCTGCTCGAGCCAATTAAATTACTTAGTCCAGCGCTAAAAGTGGCTGTTAGAATCCCAACTGCAACAAACGGTGGCCATATATTAATCGGCATCATATAAATAAAATTATTTTGGAGAAGAAATTGACTGGTTGTCGCTGCTGTTAAAATTGACAATAAAATATAGCATATGAATGTAAATGAAACAGCCGAAAGTGTACCCCGAGGAATATTTTGTCCAGGATTTCTTAATTCACCTGTAAAATAACGTATTTATAACAGCAAGTTATAAACTCAAAGTAATTATAATATTAAATAATAATTACCACTCATATTTGCTCCGGCCATAATACCAGTAACGCCGCTAAACAGTACACCAAAAACACTGGCAAAGTCGCTCACAGCACCGTGACTCGAATAATCAGCACTATAATTTGAATATAAATTTTCTAATAAAGTAGACGTACTAAGGCCAGTATAACTTCCATTTATATGATTTGTCTGATTTTGTACTAGTGTGTTTGCATCAGGAATTGCAACCTTGTTTTAATTAAAAAATAAACAAGTTTCAAAATAAGCTTAATAAATTTTAAACATTTTAATTATTCAACGATAAAGATATTATGATTTTTACCTCCATTTCACCTTTCACTATAAAACTTATAAAAACGCTCCCAAGACAAATACATACAATTGCTAAAATAGTAACACTGGTCTTTGCAAACATTGTCGCTCCAAATAAACAAACAATGAGATTTGCCGTATTAAGTACAGAACAGTACAGAAATCGCCACCATCTACCATCTGGAATGAATTCGTTTTCACCGACCAAATATCCCGAAGGCCCAAAGTTTTCGATCAATCCTTCAGCGCAACCAGATATACATAAAGCACTCGACACTACGTTTGCCATAAAAAATAAAGTACCGATAGATCCACCAAATTCAGGACCTAGCGTTCTACTTATCATAACTAATTTCCAACTCTAAGAAAAAATATTCAGCATAACTTACATTGTAATTTGTATTAAGTCATTATTATATTTGAAACTAATTTTCGAGAAATAAATTTCAAAAAAAAAAAAAAAATCTTCCGTTTGTTAATTGTTAAACAATCACATAAATATATTATTCTTTATCATTGTAAAAATGAAAAATAAAATATTCTTCTACTGTTAATTGTTTGAAAAATAATGAATGTAATTTTTAATTTATAATAAATATTGACAAATTTTTACAGAGAATTTATAGTAAAGATATAAAAATGAATTTTTCTTTTAATAACATTATTTAATATCATTATTTTTCAATATAATTTAAAATTATTATCATATATTTTATAAAATATGCTCAAGGATACAATAAGCTCCACCACCTTCGACTGCTCCATTTGTTGAAATAGCACAGACAGACGAGACTGTAAAAACTAAAATCCCATAAGCTATTATAAATTGTATTAGAGTAACTAATAATCCTGCATTACCAACGATATATCCTATAAACAAAAATTAATATAATCAAAATTTAATCGGTCTTAATATTAATTTTATAAATACAATTATTTTTTAAATCTTACCCATTCTTATAAAAACCAAGGCACTGAACATAGACAAAGTGACGGGACTAAATACACCAGCAAATGTTCCAAGTGTTCGACTACTATTCGTACCCAAAGTGCTGAATTCTACATAGCCATCTCGTTCATCGTTTAATGAATTTTTAAATCTAAGTAAAGCACTTAGTCTATAAAAAATACCCCTATTTCTAATAAGAGGCACTTTTTCTCCCGGTAATTGAATTCCTTCTACATTATTTGTGGACCCAATTTCGGATGCAATCATTTTGCATAACTGTTAGGATTTTTACTACAATATAATAATAATTATTCAAATTTTATATTAAAAAATACATTGGTCAAATGATTCTCTAAAACATTAAATTTTGTTCAATATAAATAACAAAGATGTTTACATTGTATTGTACTTGTATTAAAAACACTTGCGTGACGACAAACGCTTCCTTAATTAAATCATCTTATAATCTTATAATTCATTGTGGTCGGATTATTCCAAGGAAAATTACTATTCTTTCATTTTCAACGTTTTACAATAATGCCATTTTATGTTAAAATTACAACTACAATATTAAAAACAAACGAATCTTTGTTTTGTTAAGGCTACAACGTATTCTGGGAGGTAGTGTTTCCTTCATTATGTGTCAGTTCATATGCGTCAGCTTAAGTATATTAAGTTCTAATAACCAATAGAAAGTAAAGTATAACGGAAAAGAAAAATAAAATCTCTAGAAATAGTGTTTGTAAACAAATTATGTTGTGGCCGTTTGTAGCGAAATTTTCGTGTTAAACATCATACGGAAATTAATTTAATTTCAACACTAATTATAAACGTGTTTTTATTATCTTATATAGGTTATAATGTCTACGGTAATTTTGTAAAATAAGTTCATTTGTTAATGAGCATGCAGAATATTTCTATTAATTATATTAATTTATTCTATAGGTAATAAAATTACGTAAGTAAAAAAAGCAAAAGAAAATGTAATTTATTTTATAATTTACACTTTAATTTTTGCATTACATTTATTTTCACATACTTGATCAATAAAATTATTAAAATATTATGTACTAAATTTTCTTAAGCTTTAATAATATAAAATAACAAAATTCTTCGTGTGCATTATTTATCATATCTGAAGAATAACTTTATGACTCGTATTTGCATATTATTTTATAATTGTGCACAGCACAAATATTCTAACCGCAAACGAATACATTTATTATGTTTATTTTCATCAATTTTCCATGGAACCATCTTCTTCCAATTCTGGCATAGGAAAGCGTAATATAGCTGCCACACCCGTGAGTAGATCCAGTTCTATGCGATTGAAAGAATTGTTTGTTATTACCTTTAGATGTGGTTAAATTTTGTTAGAAAATTTAATTTATATTAATACACACGTTCGCCAGATATATGCATACTTGAAAATATTTTAACATCTCCATTGGACTTTTTAACTGTTTCAACAAGATGAATATATTCTTTCCTTAATGCAACATCTTGGCACCTGTGTAAATATTTTTTTGATTTACTTTGTTATTATTTACTCATTATAATTTATTGATACATAATCATACCTAAATAGTTTATCTGAAATGAGTAATGTTTCAATAGCCTTTGCATTACACGCTGCTAAAACATGATTTTTACCATAAAAAACTCTCGATGAATCTGTTTGAAGCATCGTATAAAAGGTTTCTAAAATTTTTACTTCACCCGCTGCTTTTGTATCGGATATCAGAGAAATTACCGAAGGTTCAGTCAATACTTCTGTAACGAATACAAATGTATTCAAATTAAAATTTATTATATTGGCATACGTGACAAATTAATAAGAGCATTTAACAGGCACCCCTTAATGAATGTTTGAAGCCCGAACTTGAATGAGTGAGTATAAATTTACTCTTATTTTCAAGGATTAACTTATTTTCAGATTTCACCGCTTGCTGAATCATATAGTTCATAAACTGATCTTTAACAAATCCAGGACTTGCGAGTATAATGCATTTCACAACATCGAAGTTTACGTGTTTTAAAATCCCTTGCATTATACTTTCATAAAAGCGATTTAAACCCTGGCGGAATTAATCTTTGTATTAATATTAATATTTTAAAAATTAAATTAAAATACTATGTCAATAATGTCACGTGCCTTTTCATGTTGGGAAGCGCTACCTTTCCTTTTACGTGGAATGACTTGATCAATTTTCGCACGCACTATTGTCATATTTGATGATATTAAACATACATGCGCTATTCCTTCTTGCATTACAACAGCGGCAATATCGGAATTCTGAAATTGTTATAATCTATTATATAATAAATTAAAGTGAAAATTGAAACATAATTTATGTGCTAATCAAGGTCAATACTTGTGTTGGATCACATGCTGTGTCAATACGTTCTAAATTCACCGAATCCCACAATGACTTTTTAAGCGTAAATTTTCTGTTTTGTTCAATATCTAATGTATGATATGCACCATTCTGTATGAATCGTAACAAATTAATGTAATATAATAAATTATTAGATTATTATTAGTTTGCCTTACTTTTACATATTTATTTTCCGTTATATTTTTCCCCTTGATCCTTAAAACGCAAGCTTGAGTATCAAAGTCTATATTTTCTACAATTATTGTTAACGTTGTTCGCACTCTAAAATTATTGGAACTTCCAGTTTTACTTTCGAGTTGTACTTTCCTGTCGATATTAAAATCAGTTTGAAATCTTTTTTGATAAAGAAAAAATTTATAAGTAAAATGAATTTATTAATTTATACCTTATCGTAGAGCACGTAACGTAATCTCCTTCGACAATTAAATTATAAATGTGCCACATATCCTCAGTATTCTCCGGGACAAGGACAATATCTCTAATGATAAAGTAAAACATTGGTTAATAGATAATAATTAAAATTGTTGAAAACAAATTATTTCTCACACTTACCCTTCTCCCTTCTTATCAACATATTTGCCTACTAATTTCATTTCAAAATCTGTAATTAAATAAATTTAAAAAAATGTAAACTTTACCCCACCTACATTTAAATATTATGTAAAATTAAAGCATTCGTAATATACATTTTGAATTAATTGATACATTACTGTTTTTATTGTTTTCACTGATGACGATAAAATGATGATGAATCCAGTTGGTCCTTACATTATAAAAATATATCCTATGACAATATCACCGAATGGCAAATAATTCACGATACAAGAAGCTTTCAAGCTGTTAAGGTTATGAAGCATGTTATTGTCGCAAATCACAATAGAACATTAAGTCAGCCATAAGCTATGGTATCCGATTGCAAAATTTTGTTTAAATTCATGAAATTGCTGACTTTGAGACATCGCACGTGTTTCTTATGCGACGTATGGATTACGATATGAGCGTTCTACTCGGGCTATAACCCAATCACAGATTTTTCGATAAAATTAGAATGGTGACCTAATAACGCCAAGAAGTATAATTCAAATGGATAAATGATCAAGGACTATTTACAATATTTTGTTATAAGAACAAAAATTCAAATTCAATTTTATGAAATACTCGAAAAATAAATTCCAAATAATATATTACATTTTTCAATACTTTTTTTCTTCACATTTATGCTTTCATTTGTAAACTTTCATGAAATTCTTATTCTTTAATGTAAATATAATATTTTGTTAATCGTATAAATTGTATTAGCATTTATAAATAATCATTAACAAACGTTAGTAGCAATTAAATATAAATTGCTAAGAAAGAAAATTCTTCTTTTAAAAGCCCTCTTTGCCTTACTGGTATATCTATTTGTGATTATTCTTCTTCTTTCTTTAAATGTGCAATTTGCATTGTTTGTGTGTTTTAATCGCTAATCAGATAATATTTATTTGCGGTCTTACATCATTCGAAACAATAAGGCGCTAAAATTTGAATACAAAGTCATGTGAATTAAAATTAAAAATTCACCTTTAATACATTTATATTAATTGCTATATAAGCTATATTGTGTATAATATAATTATATAATATATTTGCGATATTACTATGGAATTTTAATTTTATAATTTAACACTTTTTATAATACACTATTTATAATATGCATGTACATTCGTCTAAATATTTCAAATTAAGTATGTATAGGAATACTAATGTAGTTTGTTATTATTAATTTAGTTAGCTGACTATTTTTAAAAGTAATTCTTAGCTGTTTTAGTCTATACCAAATTGAATTTATTCCAAATCCAAGATTTTGTTTTCAACTCTGCCAGCGTATGTATGTATGATCTGAATTCTTTTGAACATATTCTTCGAATATTTTTGGGTCTATTTTTCGAATAAAGCTGCCGTTTTCAGATGGCTTTAGCTAGTTAATAATGAATATTATGCTTTTGAGATTTTTCAAAACAATTATATAATAATATAGTTTTATTAAATTTTGTTCAGATTCTTTCGTTCTTTACTATGGTCTTGATATTTTTCTACTGGTTTTCTCTTACTGTTTTTAAGTATACACGTAAGCTTGATATTAAAAAAATTTTTTTTATTAAAATTATTAAATCTGAATTCCATTCTCAGTAGATCAATGATACATTAAATTTTACATTTACGTTTGGCCATTTTAATACATTAAATCTTATACAAAGTTCTAAAAAATTTTGTATTATTCATTTCAATAAAAAAATAATTTCTAAAATAATCAAGAAAATAAAATTAATTATCTACGAAGACATTTATGTATTCTTAATTAGTCCTTAATTAATCCTGCAATCATTTAACTCAATGTACTTTCATAGTAAATTCGTTTTGATTCTTGAATTATATTATAATAATATATTGTGAAAATATTACACACTTTGAAATATATAACAACAATAGCAACAATTTTGTTATATATAGAAATTTATTATATGACGAATTATTTTATTTATATACAGTGCCTTATTATTAAGCAATATTTCATATTATTTGTAAATGATTTCTAGTCTACTATTGTTTTAATTAATTTAAATAATGACTTACTTTAACGAGTCAGGTTCAAATCACGAAATATCTGCGCAATATGGGAATAATATTTATTTATGATAATAAAATAATGCGTAGGTGATAAATTTAATAAAGTAAAACTAATTCAATTAATCGCATTATGCAAATGATTGTTTTGTCAAATTTCAAACTTTCAAATTTATCTAAAGACAGTTTTTCTTTAATTATGAATATTATTTTTAACGATGATATTCAAAAATAAAACTTCATACTCAATTTAATACTTAAATTGTTAAAATATAATTTTATAATATTTTTAAATGTCAGTTTAGATGTTATATAATTTTATTATTATTTGTGCTAACATTTTTTAAAATATTTTCGTATATAATTGGCATTTCGCTTTTTGATATATTTTCATATAAATAAATGTCTATACAACTCATATTACAATTTTTTCATTTAATACACTAGAGTTCCGAGTTTAAACATTTTTTGAATATAAACTTTTTATTTTTATTTTAAAAATTTGGCATATGCGATTTTACATTTTACAAATATTGTAATCCTGTGTAGGTCAATATATTAATATTTTTTTAAATTACATGAAAATGAAAAGTATGATTATTTAATTAAATTTTTTGTTCGATTTATCATGTATAATTCACATTAATATTTTTTATATTTGCAAAGATTTTATTTTAATGAGAGAAATGAGACAGTTGTTTTGAAATATTCAAATTGTATTATTAATATCAAATTAATTTAAGTTTTTTTCTTAAAAATAATTTTTTCCCTTCTTTTATTATTGGTGATTAGAGGAATATTAGTTGTCATTTTTATATCTATTATTTATCATAATTAATATATCGTTTATTATATTCATATATATTATAATTAATGTAAAATAATCATTTTCATTTAGCCGTTAATATATGAATATATGATATTTTTTATATATAAAGGGTAAATTTGTTATTCGCAATTTCAATTCAATTTAAACTTTTAGAATTTAGAAAATTTATTAATTTTAGAGATATGCCTATGCCTTTGTATTTATGAACTAATTAAGACATAGAAATTGTGACATAAATAGAATTTATACTCTTTAGTTTCATTGATTCCTAAGTGTATTATTTAATAATCATTTATTATATCATTAATTATTAATTATTATAGTTAAATTTTTATCTATTTTATTTCTGCTTATTGATTAATAAACAGGTGATACAATTTGTTTTTTCAAAAGTAACATAATTGTTGTAATGACAATAAAGTAATTTATAATTATTTTTTTTTAATGTTTATTCTTAATTATTTATTAATTCATAAGATTACTTAACTTAAATATAAATGCTTTAAACGAATGGAATTTTTGAAAAGGTGAAAATGTTTAATAAATTTATTTAATGTATTGGCGATCAATTATATTAGATTTGGAGTAGGGAAGCTAATATTATTAAATTGGACTTTAACGAATAAAGTCTGTCGGAGGACAGGTGATTTTAAATATATTCTCTTACGATTTTTCATCATTATCGTTGCTTATGAGAAAAAGAAATTTGTCCACTGGGCAAATGGCTTCCGATATACAATGTACAAAAATCTCGACTCTCACCCAGATTTTCAATAACTTTTGCTTTAAAATAATTTTCTCTTTCTTCCAACTGATTCCGAACTTTCGACTCCTTGTTTCTTGTAATATTAAAGAAGTGATTAATTTTAATTTCACGGCCAATTTTTATCTCTGCTACAATTACTATCAACTATATCTTGTTTAATTTGCAAAATGGAAAAATTGCTTTTACTTATACAAATTCAATTTTATTCGCAAAACGTTATGCGATTAATGATTTTATTATAAATTAATAAGTATCATAATAATAGAAACTTATTTTTGTCATACGTACTCACGCACATATTGCCTATTAAACGCTAAAGAGCTTTAGCAAATAAATTTCTTAACTACTATAATACGAGTGATTGCTTAATTATTTATTTGCTTATTATTTATTCTAAATACATTGTTTATTATTTAAAATATTACATAAAATTTATGTTTTTCATCGTGTAAATTTCGATACACAAAGGGTAAATGTTTGTACCTCATAAGTTTATACTCACTGTAACTTATTTAACATCAAATGAGAAATCGATAATTATTATTTTAACGAGTGAGTTACTTTATTTAAATTATTTTCGATATTTTTCTTATATTTTAATAAATAGCTAACATTTGTATTTTTTTTTATTATTTTTTTTTTATTTTTTTTTTTTTTATGAATTTTAAACAAATAACTATATAAAGAGTAGAGAAATAAATATGTAAATGAATAATTATATAAATATGGGTATAAAAAAGATAATTATATCGATAAGAATAGGCTGATTTAATTGAAAGCTTTTTAATAAAAAAAAAAATGCTTGTAAAAATTTGTAAATATGTAAAAATGTTTGTAAAAATGTTTCTAATAAGTATCGAGATAATTCTTCAACGAATGTTGCTATCGAGTCAACGACTTTTCGTATTTCTAACAAAGTGTAAGAAAATAATAAAACTCATCCCCTAAATAATAATCTCGTGTACATAGTTCTGTATCCAATGAGCAAATAATAACTTCTCGTTTCTTTCAAATTGTTTAATTTTCTATTAAGAATAAATGATGTAAGTAAACAGTATTATTGAAATTATAAATATAGAATTATTTTTATAATAATTAAATTCTTTGTGTAGGAGGGTGTCGAATTGGAAAATTGAATTAATTTATAATTTAACGAATAATATTTAATAATTTTAATATAATTGAATGAAATAGTTGTGAATATAGAAGGTAATATTTTATGTTGTGCTAATAAATCAAAGCCCATCGAAAAAAGTGCGATTATTTAAAATGGGTACTTTAAAAAGTAAGGGTGGTTAGGGGATGTCTCGCGCGTTGTAAAAATTTGCTAGATACCTGAATTCGCAATTTACGCGTAAATAGCGAAGTAGTAACGCAGCGCTACGATCAGTGAAACGCGAATTATCTTGACCTTCCTGCAAAGTTTTGACGGGAGTTGTACATACTTCAATATGGCGAACCACGACAAAGGACGCAGAAAGTGGGGAGAGATTTCACAAGGTACAATGAAGAAAGGCTCCGAGTAAATAAGCGCGAGGATTAATTGAATAAATAGCGTCATTGGTCTTGTAAAATCGCGATGCTAATGCCCGAACGTTAGTGTGAATTCGCTAAAGTTCACTAGACCATCGCCATTCTGGCGCGAGTCGCAAAACTAACCTCCTGAGCGAGTGAAGCTAACCTAAAAGGTTAAAAGACGGCGAACCGCGGGAAGCTCGTTAGAGCATTTTCCGAAAGGCGAATGTCACGCGATTAAAAATAGCTTTTATTGCGAATTAGTGTTGATATTGCGGAAAATCGATATTCTTTTCAATTTTCAAGTTCTCGTATTACATAACGTTTGTTCCTTTTGTTTTTTCGCGACTGCATTTCCAAGGGTACGTGGATGAATAACGTTGAAATCGCAATGTTTTTGTTGTAAAAAAGGCACAGCAGCATCCCGGATCTTGTCGGTTTTTCTTTTTTAATAATGCTTATTTCGATGCTTAAATTAAGTATTCATTTGAATTTTCAATTTGCTTAAAAATGGATACAATGTAATTTAAAAATTTTATTACTTTTAAACAGTTTTGATTAAATTAAAGTCATATGTTGTGTGTAGCATTGTCAATATGGTTTGATTGGTTATTGTATAATTTGTAGATAATTCATCTGATTTGAAATTTGAACGAGACAGATTAGCTGCAATGAGAGGGGGAGCAAATAAAGCACCACCTCGAGCACTTTATAGGCCTGGAAGTGGACCTTTGAGAAAGTCTGGAAGATCAGAAGATTATGATCATGAAAATAACTGTCAAGAAAGACCAAGAATGTCTTCTATTCAAGATCGATTAAAGCAGTCACAATTCAGTCACCAAAATCAATTACAGAATAGTTCTAGATCTCATCAAATTGATAGTATAAATGACAAATTATCCGAAATGCATGTAAACTGTAGAAATAATATTGATAATTACGGTCAGAGTACTTCAAAAAACAATCATGTATCGATAAACGATCCTAGGAAAAAAAATAAAAAGCCAGAGCAACAATTATATATACCTAAGAAAGTGAAAGAAGCAATGGCAGAAGAAGATACAACCAATAGGTGAAAAATATTAATTTAATATTGCTTATTTATTATTTGAAGAAGATGTAGGAATAATATATGTATTTTATAAAATAATACTTAAAATGCATAAAAAATTTATATTTAAATTTTGAAAATAAAAATATTTCGATTTCTTTGGTTATAAATATTTGACATTGTCAGCTGCTAATATGTAAAATCTTTATTTTAACATCTGCAACAATATACTTAATAATAATAGATTTAATTAAATGTAATCTAACAAATATTTCTATCGTTCTGACAATTTTTGTAATAAATTTTTAAAATAGTTATAGATTAAACTCAACATGAAGAATAATTTGATTTTTATGTTATATACATTATTTAAACACGTTTTCAATATTCATAAAATTATTAGTTTATTATTTTTGAGTTAATATGGGTGATTGCAGAATTATTCATCAAATACTTGGAATTGCAATTTTTAATTTGTTAATGTAATTATTAAATTTTGGTTATTCGTTAAAATGCTTAATAATTTCTTAGAGCTTTGTTGCAAAATAATTGGGAAAAAGACAGAGCAAGATCTGAAAGTAGAGATTGGGATACGCAGCCTAATCGTAATCAACGAAACGATAGCTTTCTTGGTAGAACCAATCCTAGTAATTTTGGTGGAAATCACAATGATAATGGTAGTCGAAATAGAGTTGATCATTCCAAACGTTTTATGGGAAATCGCAGAAATCGTAATACTTCTGAAAATGATGAACGTAGACGACCAGAGTCACCCTCATTGAATAGAAATTTCAGTAATCGCAGAGATAATTTACGAGATATTAGACAAGTAAGTTGAAATAAATGAAAAGAAACGGAATTTTGTGATAATGTAGAATAATAAATTTTTGTTGTGTAATCACTTAGGGTTCTGATCCACTTTTTATAACACCAAAAAATACTAATGATAGTAGAACTCGAGATACACGAAATAACGAGTCGTTTGGATATTCGGATAAATTTCAAGGAAAACCTCCATCTGGAAAACGTGGTGGTAAGGAAATTACCATGACAAAAATGTTAAATGTAGAAACTTTACCACCACGTTTAAAAGTCAAATACTTACAAGAACATGGATTAGTTTCGTCACAAAATAGTGCTGCCGGTACAACTTCGGAAGATAATCGTGACAATAATACGGTTACATTGCCAGTAAGTAGAACTTCTTTCTATCTCTATGCTGTCTAGCATGTAGCTTTCGTTCAATTTGATTACGATTTTTTCCAATGAAAATTGAATTTATATATCTTTATATTAACTTATATGAATTATTCGTTTTCATTCAACCAATTTACTATAAAAAAGTTGAAGTTAAATTAAACAATAATATATAAAGGAACATTGTTTATTAAACCAAATTTCAACCATTATTTTTACACTAAAATTTAAATCTTATATTACGAGGTATTCGAGGGTATATGTGTAAACTCATAAGTAATGCGTCGTTTATTTAACTCTATAATAATTATCAATCGCTCCATTGTTTTTAATAGGTTTCAACATCTTGTTATTCATCTACTGTCCAGCATTCACGAACTATGCAGAATTTACAACCAGGTTGTCCTTTATCCCCTCAAACAGTTTTTTCAAATGCATTTCCAGCAAGAAGTATATTAAGAGGTAGAAACAGATCAGAAGAATCAGAAACACCTTCTGTTTTTAGGCCTGTTACACCTGATCAGTATTCTGCACCAAGTTCAAGATCGCATACACCCAGTCAAGAATATACGAACAGGTAAATCTTTTACATAATTTTATATGAGAATTAGGATGCATTTAATTTTTTTAGCCATTTTTGTTAATATTAATCATTTTGTATTGCAGACCCTATGATCGCCGTGGAAGTAGTAGTACTATGTATACAAGTATGGAAAGTTTAAGCCGTATTGATAGTATGTTGATGCCTCCACCAGCTTCATCACCAGGGTCTTATCGTTCCAGTACTAACAGATGTCAATCACCCGCTGAGAGTCGTAGACGAGAATCGATGCCTCCATTTAATTCACAACGATTACATCATCAAACGTTAGAATTTAAAAATTTCATTTCATTAAATTATTATATAATTTTTTTATTACATTAAAATGAATATAAATCATTATTATTATATTGATATTTATTTTATATTTGTATTAAACAATGGTAATTCTAATTGAACTGAAATATTTTAGACAAAAAGTTAATAACAATTTATGTGAATCTAGTTCTGAACTAGAGAAGCCCAAATCTCGACATACATCAAATATAAGTCCAGTAAAAAGTATATCGTGTAGTCCTGTGCCTGATAACGAGTCCGAGGTTACTTTGGTAATTATAGTTTTAATGCTGTAAGAGTATATCATCGATTAGCAATTTATTATTCATGATTCAAATATGTTAAAAGGATTGGTGCGAAGAAGTAGAATTAAGTGAGAAATTAGAAGCGGAGCAAATAAGTCGTAGTTCTTCGGTGATGAGTTTACGTGAAAATGTAACTGTTCCAATTAATCAGCCAGTAGTTGGAAAAAGCAGTAAACGTAAGAGTTCGAAAAAAAAGAAATCAAAACGCAGTGGCAGAGACAAGTACGAATATATCTTTTTCTCCCGCTTCTTTTTACATTAAAATAAACGAATAATATAAGACGTTGACAGATTTTTAACATTTGATACTTTTAATAGATTTAAATTAAATTTTATTATTAGGAGTAAAGAGAAAATTGAAGGAAGTAGCAGGGAGCGTCAAAACAATCAACACAATCGAGAAAATGATAATTATAATAACAATCAGAAAAATAGTATTAGCAGCAGTAGCAAGCGGTATGATAGTAGAAGACGGAACGTTTCTCATCGAAGTCGAGAATCGAGTAAAGATAGAAATTTCCGCGGAGGCAGTCGTGGCGATGAGTTTTATAGAAATAGGTAATAATTATTGATTTATTTCTTGATTTATCTTTTGAATAAATAATATAAGACTTATGAAAATCAATTTATTTAATCCTATTATATTTATAGGGCATCTATAAATATAGAAGAAAATTGGAGAACTGGCAGAACGTCGATTTGTGAATCGGACGATGGACGTCGAACTCCGTTATCGCATTCCACATCAGTAACTAATTCTGGTCCTAGTTCTATTAATCGTCAATCGCCTACAATTTGTACAAACTCTCAGCCACCAGGCGTTCTAGTTTTACCAGATCAAAATCAACTATCGTCTAATATTACACCTTCTAGACAACCACAATTAACACAACAACAAAAAAGAACATTATTTGATCCTAATAATCCAAATAAACCGATAGTAATAACTTCACCAGGAAGTAGAATTACTTCTCAATACAGGTAATGTTCCTTATTAATATTTTTACTGATTTAGCAACGTTTTTATAAAATAAAAATTAATAATCATACAAGCATTGTATAATGTTAAATTATTAATTTTACAATAATTTCATACAATTATTAGAATTTTTAGTAAAAGGAAAGGGAAATCAAAGAATGATATAGATCGATAACGTTTATCAAATAAAAATATTATGTAAAAATATTATATTATGTATAATTTTAATTGTAAGAGATGTTTTAATAGCAAAAGCACCTCAAGTGTCTTTTAATAAAATATGTAACTATAAAGTATATTTACTAGGTCATTAGAAAAGTTATGCGATATATTTCATACATTACTTTTCAATTATATTAAAAACACTAATGATTGATCGCATGAATATAGTTGAGTTACAAGTTTAATGGATTATTCATCTATTTGGCTAATTTTTTTTTTTTTTTTATATATATATATATATATATATATATAGAGATAATGAAGTTCCCGTCCAAACCATTAGTGCTCCTGTATTCCAATCTCACTCTGGAATACAACCAATTATTCATCATGATTTTCAAAATTCACTCATAGATAATATATCTATGCCACAAGCCACAGATCAATTCGGCGGTGCAAAACCATCATGGTATAATCCATATTCTGAGAGGTAACTATAGATTTATTTATTATTAGTATAAAAATAATATTTAAGATTAAATGCGTTTTGCTAATAAAAGAACAAATAATTTAATTAAACCTAATTGAAAACAGTAGTCTATGTCAATTTGAAATTAATTTTCTATTCTTAGTGAACTTATTTCATTATTGGATAAATTTTATTGTCACCCTTATTAAAACAAATTGTTTTAAATTATTATTAAAGTTTATAATTAATAAGATAAAATAAATGATTTTATTACGTATATTAGAAAAATTTAGAAAATAGGTGATTCATACATTTCGAAAAGAAAGTAGATTTGGTTCACCGAAAAAATAAAATATTGTTTATTGGTGTCAATTATTGAGGTTTTATAAATAAAGTAATTATTGATAACAACACCCCTATCACATTTAGTCTTTTTTTTATATTTCATATGAATATTTATTCATAAATCAATATATCTCTTTTTTCAGTTTCCGATCAACAAAAAATCCTTATTTACTTTTGGATATTTCATTAGCCGATTCAAAATTACAACACATTCTTAATTCTAGTAGTATAACAGTTAGTTGGGATGTAATATCTCAAATACGCAGCTATCATCAACAATGTTTGCAAACTTTACTGATAACTGATCTTAAATTTTGTCAGACTGAAAATGTAGAGCAACATTTTTGGAAGATTATGTTTTATAATATCATAGAAATTTTAAGAAAGCCCATTCCTAAAGAAGATGCTGAACTTCGAGAGCAATATAAAAATCTTTTATTAAAAATTGTTGACGAAGGAACAGCATATTTCGCGAATTTACTCACAGTTTTGGAGACTAGTTACAATTTTAAAATAGACACATTTTTAACATCTGCTGTTCCACCGAAAGGTCTTGGAATATTAGGATTAGCTTTAGTTAGTGTTCAAAAAATTTTTTTATTTTTGGGTGATTTAGCGAGGTATAAAGAATTGGCTAATGAATCTGTAAATTATGGCAAGTCAAGACAGTAAGTAAATCTCATAAGTATTTGCCGTTTATATTAAATAAACATTTTAATAATAATTTAATAATAATAATTACAGATGGTATTTAAAAGCACAACAAATCAATCCAAAAAATGGAAGGCCCTACAGCCAATTAGCTTTATTAGCAACTTATGCAGTCAGTTGATTTTCATGTTCTAAAATATTTTTGAAATGTTTTTTATTGTCCAATAAATTTTAATATCTATAATATTGTATTTTAGAGAAGAAAATTAGATGCCGTTTATTATTACATGCGATCTCTAATGGCTTCTAATCCTTTCCCATCTGCTCGTGAAAGTCTAATAACTATGTTTGACGAAAATAGAAAAAAGGTAAATAAAAAAATTTTTTATTACTAAGAATTTAATTCATAATCTATTTCAATTAAATTTTTTAATAATATTTTGGTTTTGTGTCATTGACAGTATCTACACTATGTAAGTAAAGTTTAGTATTTAATGTGAATTCCTAATCATTCATTTCATGGTCGTATAGACGATTTACTTTAGTAGTCTTTATTTAGTCTGCTATATTTTGCAATTCCTAGGTTAATTTATTGCTTTTATGTTTCTATGAACTTCAATATTTTTCTGTTGATGCACTGCAAAATGATTTTTACACTTTCCATGGCAAACAAAATTTTCCCATTCATTAGTTTTAGCAAAAAGCTTTGTTTATATGAAATAAATTTAAAGCTTATAACTGTTCACCGATCAGCTGAATTAATTGAATGGCTATATAGAAATTTGTATAAAATTTTAAATAAAAGTCAATGTACCTTTTGCATGAAGATCATATAATTATGCGAATAGTGAATTGCTCGGAAATTTTTTATAAACTATTACGTTACGATTATTAATAAATAGAAAATAAAAAACACGTTTACAATTATATATCTGAATAATGATATAAAATTTATTGCGAAGGTCAATTTTTATTTCCCTTTTTCTCAAGACTTATAATTGAATTAAAAGCTTGCGATATTTATTTAATAGAAAAAATATTCATTTTTCATCTCGCGAATCTTTATTTCTAAATTCTAATTTATAAAATTAATAAAGATAATAATCCAAGAGATATTAAATCCAAGAAGTATTAAATATCAGTTTCAGTGAAAAACTTTATATTATAAATTCCAACTATTTCCATTAAAAAATACGTTTTTTATGGTTTTTTATTTATACGTTTACAAAGTAATTATTCAGTATCATACACGTATTTAGTTTGGTTTACTACTATTGGACAAAATGTTGTTTTTATTTTTTATAATTAACTTATATTATACTTTTATATATTAATCGTAAATCATCTACTGTAATTTTTGCATAAAAATTTATCATCAATTGTTCTATATTTAGATATTTAAACGTTTACACTATATAGTAGATGTTACCCGTATTTTCTATGATTTCTTCTACGTTTTTATCAAAGTTGAATTATCTTTAAATTTTGTAAATGTAAATTTATTTATTGTGCAATGTATCGACGTAACTATGTCCGATAAAATTGCCATGTAGGCGCACGCAGTATATAGTTCACACGTGCATGATTAAATTGTAAAGTTTTTAAAAATATGTAAATTTATGTATAGTATGAATCTACGGAGCGTAAACGTAAAGAGGAAAGAAAATTAAAAGAAAGAGAAAGAATGAAGGAAAAGGAAGGTGCCAACCTCGGTGGCGGTCTACGAAGAGAGATTTGGATTCATCCTGGCGGAAAGCGAATGAGACGAACGACATCGGCTACTACCACAAGTGAGTCAAGATTAGGCGACAGCGATCTTGAGGACCTTTCGCTGTTAACAAGTGTCGAGGTATGTACGATAAAGAAAATTATATTTTATTTTGTATTAATAATACACATCCACCTACATCTATGTATACAAATTTTTCTATTAATTTACCAAATTTTCAATGATTGATAATAAAATAATAAAAGAAGAAATGTTTATTAAAAAATATTAAAATTAAATTTTATAAATAAAATATTGTTTTAAATATTATTCAGTAATGGTGTATATAATCACAATATGTATTTTACCTTTATTAATCTATAAAGAATTATGAATTCAGGTAGAATTTATTAATACCTTTACATGTATAAAAGTAAAGAAATTTATAGAAATTTGTACAATATAATTTTTAAACATACGATTAAAAATTTATTTAAATTACTAAAAGGAAACTTCATATTTATTCATTCATATTTATTAATCATATTCAGATTAAAAATACTAATTTTTTTTTAGTATTTTCAAGAAATATATTACCGGATTTATAAACATTGTATAAATTATAATTTATATGAGTCTATGTACATGTAAGAGCTTAGATAATGGGTAAGAGTAAGCAATACATATATAATTTGAAAATTAATATATTGAAATAATATTTTCTAATGACATCCTTTACAAGTGGGTATAACTCTATTTATACAACTTTAATGAAAATATGAATTTGATCTTTATACCTTAGTATATAATTCAGGATTATCAGAAAAATAGAAAAATATTACAAAATTATACTAAAATTTGATAATTTTTATAAACAAAAAACAATATATATTTTTTTTTTAGTTGAACAAGAGATTCGTCACATCATATCTTCATGTTCATGGTAAATTGATAACGAGAATTGGGTAAGTTTTTAATAATTATTCTTTCTTATTTTTATAAAATGTACTGTCAATAAATTAATTTTATAATCAAATCGATGATGAAATATGTAATGTATAAACGCACTTTAGTGGTATTAATAGCTACAGATCTACTAACACTTCAGTTTCTCGATATTAATATTATGAATTTTTATATTACAAAAAGTATTGTTTAATATAAATGAGTATATTACCATTTATATAAATATTTAAGAAAAATTTCAGTCACTCTAGTTTATTTATGCCTTTATCTATCGTCGGTCTTTAACTGTGTAATTGAAAAGGGGTGGAGCTGCATAGTTATGAATAATGGGAAGCTTTTATAGTTGTTTCTTAGAAAAGATGCTCAGAACTATTGTATTCTTTTCTTACATTCTGTTTGATGTAAATTAATGTAACATTACATGACTGATGGTAGCGGTTAAAACTTTGTTGTCAGACACTTGTTCTATCTGCAGAATGCGGAATGTTGATTTTGCGAGGTAAAAATATTAATCCTTACTCTACTAGGTGAAATACTTTATAATATATCTGCTAATATTAATGGCTCTGATAGAGTCTTACGTTACATTTGCATAAGAAGAGTGCGTTGCCGCGTTAATTATTTGCGGTTAATTATATGGTTGCTTTAATAGGGAATTCGTCAAGTTCCTGCCTTATTTAGGATTTTTATTGAGTTCGCAGAAGTATGTTGAAAATCTTTGTTATAAAAGAAAGATAATATTTTAAAATTAATATTCCGATTATTTTATTTAGATGTTATTTTTGTAATTTACCGTTTTTTATTATTCATTTTTTCAATAAGATTGAATTGCTTTATTTTAAAATCACCAATGAAATGAATTTCTATTTATTCTACATCGAGCTGAGTATTTAAATTTATACTTTGTACATATGAAATGACAATATATTATTAAATTTATATTAATCAATTATCAGTAGCATTATTTTAATTATTTTCAAATTAAGATGATTGCCTACATTTTATTAATTGAGTTGAACAAGTTGATAAAATTATATACATATGGATATTTAATAAATTTAATTATTTATTCTATACACAAATCTGTATAATGTAGACTTATTATATTTATAGAATAAAATTTTTACATTTATACATATATTTACATGCATTATGATGATGTGTACGCTAAAGAGTAAAATAGTCTAAAGTAAAATGCAATATTTTATATCATGTAAGTGTCGTTCTTTTAAGTTTGATTTGATTTGATTTGAAATTTCATTAGAATACAATAAAATCTTTTATTAAATATTTAAAAACAACTTGAAATTGAAAAACGAAAGAATTTGTATAATTTTGAAATATTTATATTCGTATTACATATTATAATAATTAATTGGCGATTGATTGTCGATAGATACTTGATATTTAATTATATGAATGCTGTGATTATTAATAACTTAATATAAATGCATATAATAAATAAAAATGACAAGCAAGAAGCTAAATAAGATACGTGTAATAAAATATTAAAAAATTATGCAAGTAAGTATAAGTATGAGTTGTATTGGTTTAAAGCCGAATAAATAGATTGTTTATATTTACTAAAATTGCACGAAATTGTAAAAAATGATAGAGAGCTTTATGAAATCGAGCGAAAAGTTTTTTCACAAGGTTTGACAAAGTTGCAGCATATTTCACATATATTCGGTGTTTTTCCGTTCGTTCAAGTTATGCTTCAGTGCTTGCGAATTATGCATACATTGACTTCTCTCTCTCTCTCTCTCCCTCTCTCTCTCTCTCTCTCTCTCTCTCTCTCTCTCTCTCTCTATCTCTGATGCTTTTGACTCTCTGACTTGTTTTAAGTGTACGCGTGGCTCGTTAAATTACGGTCCTCGTGGGACTTTACGATCTCGTGAGATTGCCAAAGTTTGCAAATGGCTCCCCGCTGCCTCGTAACTGAGTGGAGGCGTATATTGGGCGCGTTTATATACATTCTACTGCTGCAGCACTGTTTTCATACTGACCCGCTTCGATGAGTTATCGAATACTCTGGCAATATGAGAATTTCTCCTTAAGATATATTGAAGGATGTGAGCAAGCGAGCGAGTGCTATTCTAGGTCTGCCCTTCTACACTTGCGTGCCTTCGTAATTTAACCATTTTAAATTTACGCCAAATCACCTTTAGACATACGTAGTGCTTCGTGCTTATTACGGATAATACATGCATTTTTGTTATTTTTAGGCATTTTATTATTGATGACTTTTTTTCCATTATGTGCGCTATATACTCCATTCAACTATATTACTATATTATAATGATCTTGAGATAAATAATTTTGTTGTCAGTTAATTATGTGATTTAAAGAACTCACTGATTAGTATATTTTTACTTTAGCTTATTACAGCTTATTATTATTATTATTATTATTATTATTTAATTTAATACATGCATGTTACGCATGCAATTATGTACGTTAAAATGCTTATGATCATTTAAATAATTAAATTAAATTGGATATAGCATGTAAAATGTTAAAAATTAAAATTTATACTTTTATGCAAGATTAAAACTGAGTTTTTTTTTTTTAACAGGTACTTGAGTTTTTAAATTGAACGTTTTGAAATAAACGTTAAATTTATTTCTATTCAAGTAATTTTACGATTTTAAATATTTTTAACCCCTTGGTTTTAATAAATAGTACAGAAGCATGATTCTGAAGTTTTCGAAAGAATAAAAAATATTGTAAATTTTTATGTTAATTTTGACGCTTTAATTAAGTTAAACGCTAAAATTATATTAGAGTAACTATCAAAATTTGCGATAGTAAAGTGTATATTTAATTAGAAAGGTTATACTTCAAAATATTTTAATAATAAATATTATTTTAAATTCTTAAAATAATTATTCTTTTTCAGCAAATTTTAATTAATTTAAAATTTTGTTTATATTATTTTTTATTGTATACTTATTGTGATTAATTATATTTAAAAAAAATATATAATAAATTTTTCATATATAATTATTTGGTATTAAAATTCATTCATCGTATTTGCATTTGCATTTGCATTTGTGCAGGTACAAATTATAAATAAATGACGAAAAATAAATTAGCAAGAATTTGTGTACTCGTCCTTTTCTTTTATATTTAAAGCACAGAACTCGATAACTTTGCGTCTACATTTAGACAAAGGCGAGAACGTTTTCATTATTATTTTTTTTTTATCTTTTGGGTCTCTGCTTGTGTCATAAGCTGATTAATAGTTCATGTAGAATGATTAATATGTTGAATAGTAATACCTTAAATTAGCTTTCGCACTCTTAATAATAGAACTTAAAAATTGAGATAGTATGATTTATGTTTATGCATTTGCAGTATTTAAAATAAAGAGATGATCCTTTTTCTAATTAAATCAATTTCGGAATTTCAATTGTCAAATGAAATTTTATTCTTACTCTACTAAGCGCATTGCATATAAATTGAAAATAAAATAAAAAAGTTTCTGTGAAGTTCAGAATGTATATCAAAAATATCAAAAAAATTAAAAATATCAAAAATATTCATAAGCTTCGGAATTATGAATGTATTTAATTGAAAAGTAAAGAAAAATGTTTTAAGCCACCTACAATTCGATTGTATTTCTTATTATTATTTTTTTTTTTAAACACTTTTAATTATATATAGAAAAACTATTTATTTAAATAATTTATTTTGTAAATTATTTCTTATCTTTAGAAATGTGAATTAGACGTTTAGAAACGTGGGCAGTGCTTTTTGCAAATCCTTTCTACAATCACTTGAATTATATCCTGAAGTAGCAAATGCCGGAAAATAGTATTTTTTGTATATTTATGAATTTATTCTAGTTTAATACAGTCTGTTGGTATATTCTATTCTATTATATATATTTCTCATTATTATGCAATATTTTTTCTTATCTTTTATTTTCGATTTAATAATTTTAGTATGCAGCTATTTCAAAATAATTAAATAATATAAATATACTATAGTCTACATACTATCAGTCATATGATATTGAGATTTTCAAAAGTTTTCTAATATTTTTCTTAAGAGACTATTGAAAAAACATTAAGAATTTTCAATTAAGAATCATAAATGTGATTTGTATATGCCGGACAGGATATTTATTCCATAATCATAAATGATCGTCGATATTTAGTTGTATGGTTTTTACAAATGATTTTGAATTATTGTAATAGATGTTGACCATTTATATTTGTACTATTTATATTATTTATAAAATATAAATTAAAATATATTTATCATCCTTTGTTTTCAGTAATTCGTTCGTTGTTTTTTTTTTTTTTTTTTGTTACATTTCAGATAAATGATTATATTTATAACAGTTAAATGATATTTGTTATAAATCGTATTTATAAATGCATCGATAGTTGTTTTATATGTGTTGCAGAAAAGTCTTTTTGAAATATATTGTGAATTTTACCATGGAAAAAAGTCTTTAGTATTGTATATTATTTAACATTATATCTGAAATAGTAGAAAATAAATTTTACCTAAACAGAATCTAAAATCTCTAAGATGTATTAATTATATCATATATAACGTTGCAGTAAAAATATATCGATAATTTACAGATAGTATTTAAGTTGATAGTAAGACTTATCTTATTAGATTAATGATTTGTTGCTATATAAGTTGTAAATTTAAATTTGATTTCAGAGTATAAAATAAGTAGTTTTTATTTTTTCAAAGAAAAAATATAAGCATGAAAATAAAATGTAAATTTAAAGAGGTAAATCTGATATTCTTTTGATTTCTGTAGATTCATAGGTAAAATAATATTAGGTTAATAAAAATTCAGAAGTAAAATAGAAAAGGAAAACGAGTTCGGACGACACAAGAATGAGCAAATAAAATCCGCCGCTAACGGCCGACTAATAGCTCTTGATCTCGTATCTTGAACTGTACATTGGAAAATACAGCGAATGAGTGAGATAGATACACACACACACACACACACACACACACACACACA